TGTCCAAAGACTAAACCAGAGGCAGCTGTTCCTACCTACCGCATGTTTCCAGGTGTGCTAACTCTGAAATGCTAACTGGGTCATGTGTTTTCAATGAACGACTGGGATGTTGACACACTAGTCTTCCTATGCATCACAGATGGGCTGAATTTGGTACTCAGAGAGGAAAACGGTAAACTTTCTCCTTCCTGTACGGTTCACGACTCTTTTTGGTCTCTGAGCTCTTCTTCTTCAGAAAACCCAAATTATTCATCCCCTTGCAGATTTAGGCTTAAAATAACCACATCATTTCACCAACATGTTTAACCAGTCACTGGCACTGCTAGCTAAGTTAGCTGACCCTAATGCTTGAATCATAAACATTAGCTCTGCTAACAGTAAAGCGCTACATCAACATAGTTTGAGAATGCTAGCGCTAAAGTGCGAATTTGAATTTAAATGATATTTGGCTTTGAAAGACTTTAGGGGGAGCTAAGTGTGCTAGATGCTTTTACAGTTAGTAAAAGTGCTAAGGCGCGATATCCGCAGGGTATTTAGCTGACGCTATTGCTAACGACTGTGAGCAGCTAAACAGTCAATATCTGAAATTTCAACACAAATGTCAAAATCAATTCAAATGAAATTTCATAAAAGAACTGAGTGAATTTGCGCTTTATAACTTGTCTGGATAAATTTAAGGGAAGCTAAACGCGCTAAACATTTTCAAAGTAAGTGAAAATGCTAAAGCTGATGCCAGCTTGGTGTTTAACCGACGCTGAGGAGGAAGCTGTTGATACCCAAAATGTATTCAACTGAAAGTTCACAAAACAGTCGAGTGAATTTGATTTGCGGGAAGCTAAGAGTGCTAAATGGTTTGAAAGTTTGCAAAGAGCTAGGCTAAAAAATTAGCTCCTGTGAAGGAATCGTTTTGAACGGGCCCAGTCCTGTCTTAAATCTGATTGATAATCTGTCAATCAGATTGAAGTGATGGGTAAATAGTCCAAACCTGGTTAGCTTGCAGCTAACTGGCCTGCAGAACTCTGCAGAAATCCTTCACGTTTTTCAGGGGATGTTTAAATGTTTACATGACATATTAGGAGAGACATTTAGTGATGTCATAACATGGGGTCGAAGCTGGAACCGATTCAGAGCCGCCTGGGGCACCAAACCTGATCCAGCGCTGCCATCGTGTTGGTCTAAAGACGGATCCAAAGAGCCGGAGCTCAGATGCTAAAGAGTCAGATTCATGTAGATTCTCTACATTTCCACCTGAGTCAGATTATTGTCCGCCATCATGTCTGTGAGGTCTGGGTGGTCAGTCATCAGGTCCACACCTAAACTGGACATTTAATGTTCCTCCCACCCAGAAACGCAGCCTTACAGCCACAATAAGCCCACTGTCAGTCTGCAAACATCTACTTAGCTTCAGTCTAATTAACTCTCTAAGCGGCGGCGGCTGACACAATACGACAAAACAAACGCTCGATGGGACTTGAGACACTTCCAGGGAGGAAGATTACGCGTAAGCAGGTTTAATGACTAGAAAATCCAGGAATTAAACATCACAAGGTTCACTGAGTGAACAGAACTGGTGCAGGAAATCAGACTTTATCCCTGACCAGATGGGGTGGCTTTTTTTTTTTCTTCCCTAATTATACATTTTGTGAAGGATTTGCAGCTTCAGGCTCTATTAGAACAATGCAAATTTTTTAAAACTCAAGTTTTCATCCATAATTAGCAGATAAAGTCCAGCAGAGTTTCCCTCTTTTCCTGTTGTGTTTCTAACGTCCGTCCCGCTGGCCCAGAAAGGAGAGGACAGCGGGCCGTTAAATGGCACGGTTGGGGTCCGTCGCAGCCGCTCCCCTCCCCCGGCGGCGTCCCGCTGGGCGCATGTCAAAGATCACATGACAATAGGGATTCCTGACCCAGCTTAGCAATGGGAAACACTGAGTCAGAGCCTTCCTGTGGACCGACTCTCCGCCCGATCCCAACCAAACCGCACAGAAACACTCCACATTTTCCAGTTAGAAGAGGTGAAGAAGACCCAAAGAATGCAGGTTTAATGTGGTTCCACAACAAATCGTCTTCTGGATCCTTGCAAAATTTGACATGACAATTTTTAAAAACCCTTTGTTTTCCAATAAAAAGTTTTGGCACTGAAATGACGGTTTTTGGTTGAAATTGATTGAATTCAGTTCAATTCGTATGAATCCTAACACTACAATGTCTTCTGCAGGAAGCGACAAAGAAGACGACAGGAAGTAGGAAGATGATGGCGCAGAATGATTTGTTAATGAACAAAGTGATTCTAAGTTCATAAGTTAATGGAGAAGCCTCAGCAGTAAAATGTGTCTCATTTGTAACGGAAACAGATGCTGCATAACTGATATCTACAGTTTTAAGGACGTTGTAATGAAGATGCAGGTTTTGGCGCAGCATTGAGGAAATGTTGAGCATTTTGTCAGGAAAACCAAACATTAAACATCATCTGGAACAAAAACATTTCCTAAGATGGATGAAGGATTCAGAACAGCAGGAAAGAAAAACTCTTCCAAACATTCCAGCTTCGATTTGAGTCAAATCTGATCAATAACTGATCAGATTGACCCGAAAAGTCTGAGGCGGATGCACAATGTTGCAAAAACCACCAGTTTAAACTTTTAAACTGATGGTTTGCTTTTGATTTCTGAACTATTTTGCGCCTATAAGCGAGTTGATCCTCTGCAGGTTTTCCTACCTGACCGCTGCGACGCAGCCGGGAGGATGAGGAGCAGCACCCAGAGGAGGAAGAGCTGCAGCCCGGAGCAACACCTGCGGAGGAAACGCGGTCAGGTTTTACTGGCACAAAGTGAGAGAAAGCTGCAGAAATGAAACGAACCCCGCACCTCATCTTCATCTTCTGTCTGAGTGCGGGACGGTGCGGGGCGCTGCGGGGCGCTACATGGACTCTAACAGGCAGGCAGAGGAGAGGAGAGTCTGGGTCCGGGACTCCGCTGCTGCTCCGCCGGACAGCTGATGAGGAGGAGGAGGAAGAGGAAGAGGAGGAGGAGGAGGAAGGCTTCCCCCGGGTCCTAAAGGAACCATCAGATTGAACACAGAAAACCTGCTATTATATTATTGATTAATCAGCAGGAATATTATTGCTTCTACTACTAGAATAAAGACTATTATAGTTGAAAATAATGTTTTATTTATACAACAATGATTTATATATTATATGTTATTGTATGAATATTTTCCTGTATTAAAATGTAAAAAATTAAATGCTACTTTTACCACAAAATATCAACAAGAAATTATAAATTATATGATTTATGCATCAATATAGATTATTACTCAAATCAAAAATAAAACAGTATTAAATGTAATTTTAAATGATATAAGTATTATAATAAACTTATTAAAAATAATATTATTCATAAATAGGAAAACACAACTACTAATACTACTCTGACTAAATATAATAATAATAAAGGATAATTATTGTTAGTAAAACATACTTAAAAATAGTATATATTTAGATAAATTAGCAATACTGTCATTAATTTCATATTCTGGGCAGAGCAACAGGGTGTAACAACAAAAAGTAATAATTATCATAACAATAATCATAAGTACACTTTTATATTTTTATATGCATTTAGTTTGTGAGCTTTTACTACTGTGTGTATTCTAACTCATTACAGCAAGAATAATAAATACATATTGGTTTAAACCGGTTTTCATGTAAGATTTGGTAGTTTTAGTATTTATAATTGTATTAAATTCATAACTCAGAACTATTTTAAATGGGGATGTTGCACTTACAGAAGATGGCCAGCAGAGGGCGGAGTTGCTCTCCTCTCGGCAGATAGAAAATTTGATTCTCCGTCGAAACAAGATTTTCAGTTTTCTGCAGAAGCAGCCAATTAATCAATAATATCGATTTATCCAGTAAAACCCAGAACCAGAGAGAGACTGAGAGACTCCCTGCTGAGTCTGGACGGATTGATTTGGGACTGGTTGGTGTAATTAGGTATAAAAATGATTTTATTTGGTTTGTCTGAGGACAGAAGCAGAAAGAAACTGACAATTTTTGGAGCAGTAAAAAAACATCCAGGAATAAAAATGAACGCTTCAACCCAGAAATCCAGAGTGACATTTATGACTTGATTAGATAGTAAACGCAGCAGCTCTTCCAGCTCCACTTGATACCAACATGTCCAATCCAGGCGGGCGGGAGCTGCGACCCGATCCGGTTCCTCCTCCAGCAGCTGAAACGGGGCGGAGGGAGCAGCCGGCGCAAACAGCTGAAGGGTCACGACTAACGAGCAGCTCGGTTTTACACCATGCAGCCTGCCAAACAAAGCCGACAACCAGTCAGAATCAGGAGGCGGGTCTTAGCGCTGCCAATCACTCTGGTGTTTCTTTTTCCTCTCTGCTATGCTACAGCTTCTTCCTGATAGCAGAGCCTGTCTGAAATGCTAATGCTACTTAGCATAGCCACAGATGATGACAGATAAACGGGTTTTCAGTCAGTTGTTTGTCCTTTCATGATTGACAGCGCTAAGCCCCGCCTACTGGCTCTGATTGGTTGTTTTTGGTGCATTTCCAATAGCAGCTCAGGAGCGAGGGGGAGGTGATCTTTTACAGATTATCTGACTTTTTATACTCCAACGACATGATGACAGTTTAACAAACATGTAAAGACTCATAATAAAAGTTACCAACTGCAGCTTTAAATCATTGTATGTTGTTAGTTAGAGTCTTATCATTTTTCTCTTAGCACTTTAAATAAATAGATAACATAATTTACTGCAGTTTATTTGCCTGTCAGTCTGGCTTTCTTAAAGTGATTTCTTGAGTTAACCGGATTACTTTCCACATTGGGCCAGGTTGGCTGGAAATGCTACTTAAGCTATCTTTAGCCCCTGCTGGCAACTGAATGGAAGTGCCTGACTGATCTGCTCTGCTGTCATCAAGGCACCCAGTATTTTTAGGGGGCTGCAGCAGCTGCAAAAGCATTTAGCAGCACTCCACGAACAATGACAGTTGCCAGAACGTACACAGGAACCGAAGCGCTGCTCTGAACTCGCTGCTGTTTGGGTTCGTTTTGCAGCTTTCGGCTCCTGCTGCCGGACAGAAAGCTGTGAGGATGTAACCGCGCTGCTGCAGATTAGCATGTGTGTGAATTTAAAGTGGACTTGGGACACGGCTCGGCACTTGGACCACGGCTGCAGGCTCGGAATGCGTGTTGATGGCCGCTCCTGGCGACTGAAGCGAGGTAGGCGGGAGAGGTCAGAGGTCATTCCAATTAAATAAGACGAGTAAACACAAGGGTTAATCTCATCTCTTTAAGTTTCCACTGGGAATATTAAACACACTTAAACTGCAGCATCTTGACTGTGGGAATGAAATGTCTCTCACAGTCACTTTATCCTGAGTCATTGACACTGAATATTTCCAGAAATGATTCTTTAAAAATCCGTCCCATTGAAATGATTATGTTATTGATCAACAGTTGATTCAGTTTTATTATGTTTACATTTTAAAACCAACATAAGTTCCCATTGGGAACTTAAATCGGGAGCAGAGGGGGAGAGGTCGTTATTTCGACGTGTTTTGAGGCGTTCATGTGAACATGCAGCGTCGTAGTACAGGATGTTTTTGGCACTGCAGGGTGTCCGTACTCAGGATGGAGCCAAAACTTGAAACGTCGCCATGCATCCACAGAGCAAAGCAGCTGTTTTATAATTATATAATATAATTACATAATTATATAATTGTATAATTATAATAATTTGGATTAACAGTCAGATGTCAGAAGGTCTTCATGATGAAAGTTAGAAATATTTCACTTACCTATTTTCAAAATACTCATAAAAGTTATACATATGAAAGTAACCCAACAACTGATTGCTATAGCCAATTTATTGTCATTAAATGTTAAAAAAAGCCCATAATCACAATCAGCAATCCTGCCTACAGACATCTAGGAACAGTAATTGTATTGTTTTACAACTTTGGGGCAATTCCTAATTCTGGGCATGCATGTGGTGACAGTGGGAAGGAAAACTACCTTTCAGCAGAACGAGTGGCCTTCTAAAAGTTTAGCTGTGCTAGCCCTAAAGCAATAATCATCATCATTAGTTCTGTTAACAATAAAGTGGAACACAACCCTGTATTTTACAGAAGCTAATGCTAAAGCACTAATTCAACCCAAATTATATCTACTTAAGTTATTGGGGGGGGGAGGGGGGGAAGAGAAGACATTAAACTGCTGTGCTAAGTGCTAGTGTTAGCATTACAGAGTTCAGGAAGCGCCAAATTATTTATATCCCAGTAGACGGTTTAATAATCTGTTATTTATTTCATCTGCTAAAGCTAAAGCGCTAATTGCCATTCAGATCACTTCTGCCTTTTACAGACTACAATAAAAAATGCAGAACATGAGGAGAGGGAACAGTCCTGACCACTTGAAAATTTACAAAGCAGCTAAGTAAATTAGCGCTTTACAGTTTAGGAGAAGCTAAACGTGTTACATTTATTCAAAGTTAGCAAAAGCACTAAACGAAATATTAGCTCTGCTTTTAGCGCATTAGCAGCTTAGCGAAGTGTGCCTATCGCTCATTATTGGAGACTAATTTTATCCACTTAGATATTCTAGAAAATTCCCTCTGAAATGAAAGATTGGGTCCCAGTTCAGTCCTGTGGACCAGAACCACAACATGTTGTTCCGGTAAAAACTTTCAGGTATTCGTTCTGGGATTTTGCTTCTGTGTGAGCCCGCATGTTTCTGGCTGTCTTTGTGATACCCGACACACACACAGGTCTTTATTTAGCGCTCGCTATATTAAGAGCTTTCCCACTGAAATACAGCACCAGCTGTACTGGCTGTGTGGCTGCTTTAGCAAGCGGGCCGGGTCGTTCCTCCTCTGACTGCTGGGCGGGTTTTCTCCCACGCAGACAGATCTAATTCAATTAACCCTAATATTCATGCCATCCGTTTGTGCTGAAACACATGCAGTTAGAGGGGCGAAGGGGAACCGTTGGAATGACAGAAGGTACTCCTGGCATTTTAACTCATTTCACTTGGATAACATTATCTCATGAAATCCTGACTCATGTTTTCAGGTTTTAATATTCTGGTATTGGAGCTTCTCTACAGGAAATGTCAGAGACTGCATTCATCTTCAACAGCACAGCCAAAACCTAGACAAAACACACCCTGTTGTAGTATTTAGCTTGGGACCTAAAACCGACCCTTGGGGGACACCACCATTTATTTCCATATTGTAGCTGGTTTTTATTCACCCATTTATACAAACTGTTGTTGACTCCTTACCCAGTTCAGTTCAGTCCTAATCTTCCAATTTTGGGAAAAATATTCAGTGATCTATGATGTCAAATGTTTTAATCTGTAAATATACATGCTATATATATATATATATATATATATATATATATATATATATATATATATATATATATATATATATATATATTTCTTTTTTTTTTTTTTCAAATTGTTTGTAGCTTTTGAAATTTCTTCGACCAATTCTCCAGCAGGCTGAGTTCAAATCATGGCAGTGACATATGACACGACTTTTGGGACAGATATTACCGTTTTGTGACAGGCGACATGTCTTTTCGTGGCAGCTGGTGCTGGCTGGCACTCAAGCTGCAACTAGGTGGCGATAGTGAGCCAAAACTGTCACTGAAACACGGCATATGACACCAAATCGCTGGCAGCTGTATGTGTGTATGCATATGTATTCTTGTTTTCTTAATAGTTTTTTAAAATTATTGCTATTTCTTTGTTCAAAATAAAATGATTTATATTCTGCATTCAATTTTATATGAAAGCCATGGATCTGCACTGCCATAATTTAAGATTTCTGTCAAGAATCCCAGAGATCTATTTTTGGTAAAAACTAATCTAATGTTTTTGTTTTTTCTTTAGAAACGTATCGAGAAGAACTTGGATGGACTCGGTCCACTGAAAAGTCACAACTCTCTTGAACGACTTGAGGAACACTGTCAGAGGAGAAATGGATGTCTTTGGTGGCGCACCACGTTTCTTAGCCTACCCAAGACCTGTACTGGTCCAAAGTGGGACTGATGCAGTTCTTAAGTGTCAAATTGGCGGTGATCCACGACCTGCTGTCATCTGGGAGCGAAACAACGAAAAGATTGACCCCCAAGGACGATATAGGGTCTTTGAAGATGGCAATGTTTACAACCTTATCATAACCGCTGTTACTGTTGAGGACAGTGGGCAATACATTTGCAAAGCTAAGAACAGTATTGGGGAAACGTATGCGGCTGCCACCCTAAAGGTAGAAGGCGAGGCGCAAGAGATGGAGCTCAGAGAGGAAAACAAGCCACGGTTCCTCATCAAGCCTCTTTCCACGCGTGTCGGCCGTGGGGAAGATGCTGTCTTCTCCTGCAAGCTTTGGGGAAACCCGCGACCAGAAGTCGTTTGGGAAAAGGACGGTAGAAAACTCAACGAAATATTTGAGAGCATGCATTTCAACGTGGGCTACCAGGATGGAGGATGGTTTCAGCTCAAGATTTTTAAGACTCGCGCTCCGGACGGTGGGGTGTACACATGCAAAGCTCGGAATGAGTTTGGAGAGGCGTTGGCAGGAGCCGTGTTGCTTGTCGACGCCGGCCCTGGACACGAAGAGGAAGGAAACCGTAACGGCTACACTAACGGTCACTGGAAGGTTCATCAGGGAAAACAAAGGACTGGCAGGCAAGTGCCAACCCGACTAAAGGACGACGCCATGACAAAGTCTGCAAAAGTAAAAATGTTTGCTGTGACTGAAGGCAAACATGCCAAATTCCGCTGCTTTGTGACAGGAAAACCCAAACCAGAAATAATCTGGAGGAAGGATGGGAGACTTATCCTGTCCGGAAGGCGATACTTGTTATATGAAGACAGAGAAGGATACTTCACGCTCAAAGTTCTGTACTGCAAGCAAAAGGACAATGGAGTTTATGTCTGTGCTGCATCAAATACCGCAGGGCAAACCCTCAGTGCTGTGCATCTCTCCGTCAAGGGTAGGTCAATGCTTTTCTCAGAGATTTCCTTTGCATTGTTGAGTAAGAGCGGGCACAGGCCAACCACGGATGTCTTCTGCAGCAAGGAATGAGGCTGAGTGGGGCGTGATGCGTCTCAGATTTCTGTCCATTTGATTCTGGGATGATGTAAGTAGGATATAAGGGTACACTGAGGTCATTTACTGGGATAAAGCCAAGGAGAGAAGGGAAAATGAGGATTTAAGACCTCTGACCAAGGCTTGTTGACGATGTACAGAAAAACAGGTACTAAAGTGAAAATATTCCATTACAGCCTTTAAACCATAATTGATCTAAACAAACCAAGTTCAGTCACATTATCATGAAGTCTGCAAACTTACTCAGCTTGGTGAATGGCTCTGCATTGGTCCATGTGAGGCGAGTGTTTCAGAGTGGGTATTATGTTTCTCACGTGGCCTGAGAAACTCTAAACTAAGGTCACCACAGTATCAGTTTGAGATAGTAAATATAATATTTGAGACCAGACTCTTTGTCTGTACTTGCAGCTATTTAGGCAACTAAATATATTTGCAACCGGTTTTAACAAACTATTCGTAAGGCAAAGCGTCTATGATAAGGAAACGAAGAGCTTTGCACACAGATGGCTAAATAAAGCCCACATTCTGTTGTTTACAACTGTCTGGTACCGTCTCCTGGTGTCGGTTGCAGGCACTTTATTCCCTATCTAACACCTCTGAGTGTTTACAACCCTCCCATTCCTCAACAAAATAAGTTTCTTGTCTTTTGATTTCTTGTTTGCTTAACTGGAATCTGTCGTAAAACATGTTTGAACTTATAGTGTTACTACAAGAACATAGCTGTGGTTCAAATTATCCTGAGAACACTCACTGATGAGAACAGTGAAGCACTAAGTATCCGGCGATAATGTAACAATTTTCTTTAGCTGCGCAGACCAGCGATGGATATGTAAATGATTTATTTTGCGAGGAGCCGAAACATCCAGAACAGGCAGTAAAGCGCCTGAGAGGTGGCATTGCTGCAGCAATGTGTTAGAGACATTTGGTGGAGTGACAGTCAGGCGAAACAGACTGAAGGTCAGCAGACACAGGGGATCCCTCCTGGAGCTTTCACACAGCATGACCAGGGAGTTTGATTGGGGTTTTATTTTGGGTTTATACGAGTGGAGGGGGTCACATGATGCAACAAGCTGGCATGCTAACACAGAAACTTCTAAGTGGCTTGACTGCGACACTTTGGCATCCAACAGGACTGGTTAAATTTTGATGTAAATTGGTGTTCATTTCCAGCTGCCATGTCTGAGGCTCTACAAGTCACATTACCAGGCACATTGGTTAGCATAAAAATTACATTTTATCTCATCAAACTTACATTAGCTGATACTTGTAGCCTTATGTAGCTGAAGTCTACTGGTTTCAACACAATTAGCATCAGGCTTCTGTTGGTAGGGAAAGAGAGAAAAAGAAAATGATAATCATGGAAATTACTGAGCTCGTTTTAATTAATCATGCGTTTAAATGACTTAACGCGACAGGGAATGTCAGTCCTGATGGTCACCAAGGGTTGCATTGCCAATCAACGAATGATGACCTATCAATAGCATGTGTAGCAAATGAAACTGTATTAAGACTTACTGTTGTCATTCTCAAATCTGTACAATAAATTTTATCTTGCATACATTGGTAACTATAACTACCAATATTAATTTATGACCTTTGACTGCAGAGCCACCTGTCCAGTTTAAGCAACCGCTCTACGATCTTGAAGTTTGGGAACGGGATTTAGCTGTTCTGGAGTGTGAAGTTCCAGAAGATTCAGTTCCCATCACGTGGTATCTGGAGGACAGACGACTGCAGCCGGGGGCCAAATATGGAATGGAGGAGTGGGGAACAAAACGAAGGCTGACGATTCGAGACATTGGCGTTGATGACGATGGGATTTACCTCTGTGAGATGCCTGATGGGGGCAGAAGCATAGCGGAGGTAGCTGTAAAAGGTAATTACATTTATTTATTCATTTTAAATAACTTACATGATATAGAATGTAGTGTTGTTCAGTCTTTATGACACAATATCTTGGCAATTACAAGATTTGCGTAGCTGAGCAGCTTTTTATCAAGCGTTCATAAAGTTATCTCTTTATGTCAAAGTGGAGTTTTGATGCATATAGAAATGATCCAAGTGTTTTCAAAAACATCCAGCTGTTTTCTGGCAACAAGTTATTTGCTGCCAGAATATCAGCGGAACCCAGAACCCAAGCAGAACAAGTCAGCTGGTTTCACCGCCGTACAATGGCTGCTGGAAAAGACAAATGTTTTGTTCTTGACTTGCCATCCATAAATCGCTTTGACTAAACTCAAACATGTACGGTTGTAGAATTACTCATCTATTTGAAATAATTTTTTTGTTTATAAAATAAAAGCGTAAATGTTGAGTCAGAAGCCCTAGAGCAGCTCATCCTGAAAGGACCTGAAATGGACAGAACTGGTGAAATACCATCATCGAGTGATGATGATGGTATTTCACCAGGCTCCCCTTTAAGTAGAAATGGTCTTCCAAAGTACTTATGAACCCAAGTGCCTCTGTTATTAACAGATGGCATTCCAGCAGATTTTCGTAAATCCAAAGAAACCAGACCTGGCATATTTATTATCTGAAATGTTTTGTTCTTCTCTGGGAATGCCTGGGAGTCTCTGGAGAGTATCACTGTGCAGACGGATACCTTGGTGCCCTTTCCTCATTCCCAGATGGTTGGTTGTTTAATAAAACATATTTTTTCTGCAGGTACAATTTTGCGAAAGCTTCCAAGGAAAGTGGATGTCTTGGAAGGTGAAAATGCCGCCTTTTGTGTTGAAGTGGAAAAAGAAGAGATGGACATACATTGGTACAAAGACGGCATCGAGCTGCGTGAAACGCATCAGACCATCCTGAAGTCCTTTGGTCGAACTCACATCCTGGTTTTTGTCAACACGATGCCCCAAGACTCTGGCCTTGTGACCTTCCTCGTTGGCCGGTCCAAGACTTCGTCTCAGTTAAGAGTGAAAGGTTTGTTCCAGTACTTATCGCATTAAGCTTTGGAAAGCCCAACATTTACCATCTTTATGGTTTATAAAACCCTACTGTTTTGTTTCTAGCGGCTCGACATTGTCCTCCAAGTTGTCCGGTAGGAGTTCAGATCAACACGGAGCGCGCTAATGCCGCTCTCCTGTCGTGGGTTCCCGCCCCGGATTCACGCAAGAACCCTCCGTCTGGTTATGTGCTTGAGCGACAGGAAGTAGGCACTGGTTCGCAGGAGTGGCTGCAGTGTCTGACCACTGACTCTGCAACCTCAGTGGAGATCCTCGGTGACAGTGTCCCATGTGAAGCAGATTATCGCTTTCGCATTTGTAGTGTAAATAAATACGGAAAAAGCAACAATGTTGAGTTCCCCAGAACTGTTCATTTAGGTAATCAAGCTACAACAGCCAACCCTTTTTTCTCTGATTGTTAAAAAGTGTTTTAATAAAGTAATTTTTGTCTGCAGTTCCTGTCGCCAGAATTCAAGCTCCTTTACAGGATGCCTTGGTGCCAGAGGGACAAGATGCTCTTTTCACCATCGAGCTTTCTGCTTCGGTGATTGGTACGTGGTTCTTAAATGGTACTCAGCTTCAAGACGATGAGCGTTATGCCCTCCGCCGCTCAAGGACACACCAGTCTCTTCGTATCCGAGGAGTACGCGATGCAGACAACGGCGCGGAGATTACATTCATTGCCTATGGCATCCGAGATTCTGCTGCTCTGTACATTCAAGGTATGCATAGTTTATTTTATCACTTTATAGCTTTAAAGACCTTGCTAAGACTCCACAGGTGCCAAAAGGTAACCTGGAAATGGTAGTTAATGAGAGATTGAAGGAACAGGCATGATGGGTATTTTGGAAAATTCGAAAAAAGTTAAATTTAAGTGACAGTAAGGTCAAAGAATGAGATTTGATGGGCGGGGTACATTTCAGGAGAATTTGACTCCTGTACACTCGGTTCAATTGGGGACCAAAACTGCAACATTAGTTTTATTTCCAGCTGCTGTGGTTCTCTTTCTCTCTGCTCTGAGTCAAACCAATAAACCCTCTGAGCAACCTGTTCCTTTCCTCACCTGCGGGGGCGCTGCACCAAAAACCACTGAAGGAAATTATGCAAAAACCTCTGAAGACACTGAGAACAACTTCCTTCAAAATGTAAACAAACAGACTTTAGGTGTTGTAGAATTCTTCTTTTGTCTTTTACAAAAGATCACAAGACATTTTTCCCGCTAACGCTAGGCTAATGGTTATATTTACCCAGAATGCCCTGCGCTGTAGTCCACTTCCTGCTTTAGGGTCACCAGTCTGCTTGGTGTTGACTTATGAATTCAAACCGCACCAGAGTTCACTTCAGCAGAACTGAAACCGAGCAGAGATTGATTTTTTGGTTGCCATCAGAGTTTGATTAGCTTTCACACCTCTCCAAAGGAACCAAACTTTCCACGCAAACAAACTACAATTCAATTATAGTGGACTAAACAGGGCTGGTGTGAATGCACCAGTAAAAACCATGATTTATATGGAAATGTAAAGGAACAACAATAGGAAGAGAGAGCAAGGCTTTCAGAACTGGAACAATAAGAATAAAGAGGAAATGACTTAATTTACATGGAAACAGTTGGTAATAACAGAAATGTTTTTCCTATAATCTACAGCTCCACTTGTGAAATTTTCACCTCTGTCTGAAATGGATCGAAACAAGTTTGTGGAAGTTGGCAATCCCATTGTGCTCTACTGTGAGCTCTCTGATCCTGCCGCTCCGGTGCACTGGTACAAGAACGGCGTCGAGTTACAAACTATGGAAGGTCTTCATATTCAGTCCGAGGGAACAATGAGACGAATTGTCATCCAGTCTGCAGACTTCTCGCATTCAGGAGTCTACTGCTGTGATGCCATTGACGATGTAATCAGGTTCAACGTGGAAGTCGAGGGTAAGAGGCTGTCATTTCTGTTGAGATCTCTTTTATAAAATCAACATTTTTGTGCTGTTTTTACAACGTACTGTTTCTTATATACTGTTATATAACATATAAACCCCCTGCATGTCATTGTTTACTTCTGGAAATCACCATCATCCGCACGTCATCCGTTCTTTTACTTTCTATCCAATTAATTAGTTGAAGCCTGAGGATGTAGGAATTATTAATTTTTTTTGCAGTTCGCCACAGCAAAGGAAAACCATTGAAGAATAATTCAAAACCTCTTCTTCTCACTCTCTGCGTTGGCGACATTACACATAGCAACTGTTAGCAACACCCGTACGTGTTTCAGGTTTCAACACCAAGAAACACTCAAACAATTCCCAAACATAGAGTAACATCAGTGTTACATTTTTATGTTGATCTGTCAGTGCTGATGTTTTAGGTCGCCTTTTTTAAAAGTGTTTAACTGAACCGAATTCTGCAACACACCTACTTGTTGAGGTTGTGAAAGTCAAGCTAGCATAACTGAACTATTTCCCTCCCCCTCATTTTTTTCTTAAAATGAAGGGAGAGGGAATTTTGATAACGACAAAAACTTGTCATGTTGATAATTAGTACCAAAGCACTGCATCCCTTTTTCTTTTACATATAACTCTCAGATTTAAGATTTAGCGTGCCATGACAGTTAAAGCCAATGCTACTCATTGTTAGCTAGCATTGTTTTGCCCTCCAGCAGGAAGGATATTGTGTAAACGGTTTATAGAAACAAGATATCCTTTTCTAAAGCTTCCCCACCGATTGTGTCTCAATCTCCATAGCCCCACCTGTGAGGTTTTCCGCAATTCCAGATGCTGAAAGGAGCAAAAGCATCCAAGCAGGCGGGCCGTTTGTTTTACAGTGTGAACTCTCAGATCCCTCTGCCCAAGTGTACTGGTACAAAGATGGATCAAAGCTCCACCCTCAAACCGGAGTCGACCTGAAAGCCGAAGGCTTATGGAGGAAACTGGTCGTCCATTCAGCAGACGTCACTCACTCCGGCTTGTACTGCTGCAAGATGAAGGGCGATGCCGTCACCTTCAGTGTGGACATCACAGGTGATCCTTTATCCTCAACATGTGAAACATTAACAAGCGCCTTTTCAGCAAAGCAACTAACTCTGATGATACTGTTGTGTGTTGTCTGATGTTTTGCTCTTCTTGCTATTGAATGTGCAGCAACATTTTATCCTTCAGCCTGTTAGCAATTAAGCTGTCTGGAATTAGATTATAAATAATACCTAAATGACTTACATGAGGTTGACTGAAGGTTGTCATAAATTTTAAACATATCTGTAGCTCCACCTATGAAGTTCTCAGCTATTTCTGAGGATATGAAGATCAAGTTGATCGAAGCTGGCAGCCCTATAGTTCTCCAGTGTGTGGTGTCGGATCCTGAGGCCCAGGTTTGCTGGTTCAAGGAAGAAATGAAGCTCATTTCCAGCTCTGGATTAGAAATCCATTCAGTGGGCAACACAAGAACCTTAGTTATTCAGTCGGCAGAGGTGACCCACTCTGGTGTATACAGATGCGCCACTGATGATGATACCGTGGAATTTCAAGTGGAGATCAAAGGTGACTTTTCACTTCCTTTCTTAAGTGTTGATATTGTAACCACCACCTCCTCTCTCAAGGTGCCACTAACTACCCCTGCTTCAGAACTCTGTGGTTTGATGGCTGCTTCATTCGCACAACCAAACAGAAATGTTAACGATTGTTTATTGTCACTTGCTGTGTAACTGCTGTGGCTTTCTCTCAACTCAAAGTCTCCAAAGCTCTTTTCATCTTCTGCACAGTAGCTATCTGTTTGAAAGGTGTGTTTCCACAGCCTTGGGTTTATTTAGTTGTCCTGAATCCCCAATGATAGCTCTACCTGTGACACACTCTACTATCTTTGACGCTGAGAGAGGCGGGTCCCTTGAAGTGGGCAACCCTGTGAAGGTGGAATGTGAGGCTGCAGCCTCCACTGTCCCGGTCTGCTGGAATAAAGATGGTAAAAAGCTCGACCCGCAAAAGGGTTGGGGTATACAAAGTAACGGCACACCGCCGGGACCCGTTATCCCACCCACTGAGCTCTTGCCCTCAGGGCAATACTGCTGCCAAACCACTGAGGCCACTGTCCACTTCTCTGTGGATGATAAAGGTGATATTTTTTTACAGTTGTTTCACTATTACAGCAAATCCTAAAGCTTCGTAGACACTAGATATGACTAACATTTATATGCATTTCTGAACCTGTTTATGTGATGCTGTGTCTAAAGGTGTGTGTCTGAAAGGTGTTGTAAAATAATCTCTACTTACAGAATGAAGATTTGTGTTTAGTATGTAAAAGCAATGCTGTTTTTCACTGAGTTTCCTCCAAAGCTCAGCCTTTCTTTGGTCCAGTTATATTTTGAATCACTATCTTTAGCTCCAACATTGCCGCCCTACCGGGAGGTCGGAGGGTTGCAGGCACTCGAAGCAACCCGTCCAATTGAACCAGTCGATGAAAGCTCAGACCCTGCAAGCCAGGTGTCATGGCCGAGAGATTCACAGTCCTATTCAAGCAGACAATTTGGTTTTGAAATGGGAGACATCAAGGAGTCCCTTGTTATTGAACCAACTCACCCTTCAAACTCTGGAGCATACTATTGTGCAACAGCAGATGATGTGGCCAAATTAATAGTAGTAAATCCAGGTGATTTTTCTCATTTGCAAATGTTCTGAATATGCATATATAGTTCCAATTCTCTATGTGCATCTTTGAAAGACTATCTTTAGGTAGAAATAAGGACGGTATGCACTGAATTTATTCCCTAATGATTGTTTGTAGTGTCCCCTCCAACATATGTACTTGACCCTGATGAGAAGACCAGGTCAACCGAAGAGCAATATCCAATTGTTCAGCAATTTGAGATTTCGGATCCCATTGCTAAAGCTTGCTGGTACAAAGACGGAACCCAGATTTATCCTAAAAGAGGACCCGGCACCGAAGAGCACAGCCAGATCTTGGCCCTTGTGTCCCAACACTTGTCTGACGATGGCGTGCCGTTAAGAGAGGACGTGAAAGGTGGTGTCTCTGCACATTCAGACTCAAGAATTTAGTTACATGCGTGAAGCTTTCACCCACCTCATTGTTTTCTCTTTGGCTTTGTCCGAACAGCAGAACAGTGTCACTCGCGTGACCTGGTTGGTGAGGTAGCTGATGCATCAGCCCAATACTCTGTGGAAGTCAAAGGTGATTTGATCTTTTAAAATCAGTCATCCATGTTAACCCAGCCCATAAATGCCACTAACCGTAGTGGTGTATTTCACTGCTAGCTCAGTCATGTGAGCCATCTGTAAATCTTTTTTCCTTTAGAAAACAGCAAACTTTCATCCCTGATATTAGGTCATTTTACTGATATTTCCAGACGTGTTTTTGTGTAACTGCTTCTCTTACTAATCTCTGTGTTGTGTTTGTCACTTCATTCTTCATTTTAACCGTCATCTTTGCTTACAACTTGCAACTCTTAAAGTCCATCTTTTGTCCTGTTCATCTCAAGATCCTGTCATTCACATTGCTGCCCTGAACCTCTGCCTGTTGCAATGACAACAAAGTCTTTTCCTAAGAGAACTAAAAAGTTCCCTTTTTTAGGTTTAAAGGGATTAGTATTGATGGCATGACAGGAGGCATTGTAAGGGAGACATGTTGTTTACTTTAAGACCGATCCTGGTCGATCTTCTTGATTGTCTTTGCAATGGATTATCCCATAACTTCATGCTAACCCCCACTGCTGTAAAATATGTTGTGAGAAGAAATAATGAGAACACCAACAACTGAAAACCTTTCTCTGTGTACATCACAATGCTTATAGCTACATCGCCAAGGCTCTCTTCTGACCAAGAAAGGAACAAGTCTACGGAAGAGGCTTACTCTGACCAAGACACCCAGACGTCCCCACAATGCAATTCTGGCACCTTCACTGGAAATTGGGGAGATGAAGTTCACGTTGAGTATACACCAACCTCTCAGCCAACATATGGATTCACATCTCACTGCGGTTCCATGAAATCCCACTTTAGGCCAAAACAAACTGAATTTAACTTGGAGGATCCTGTCCCGTCAATGCAGATCAACCATTTTGAAAAGAAAATAACCAATCAACTAAAGCCAGGTAACCTCCATAAGACTGTAAAAACCTTGACGGGGAGAGTATCAAACACCAAACAGGCTTCAACAGACCAACCTGACAAGTTCTGTGCAGCCTTAGAAACTGCTCCTCATCAGCAGGAGGAATGGTTTGAGCTCTTAAAAGGTTCAACTGTAAAACCAGAGGAGGGCTCAAAATCCACACAGACAACTGCTATCCAATCAGAGAGAGACTATGGGTCCAAACAAATACCAGCTGCTCTTCCGGAAAAGCTCCTAGGTTGCTCGCTGTCTGGGAACGTCCTCTGTTTGAGGCCCAATGACTGTTTAACGACTTCAGCTCAACAGCCTGAGGAGCTAACCCGAGCCAAACAGTCATCAGTTGCATTGTCAGAGGATTTGTTGTCCTCAGGTTTGTGTCCAAATAATGAGGCAGAAGTTTTCCAGTCTGAACATCTGACATCAAATACATTCGTCAAATTGGACACATTTAATGGACAGACTGTATCCAACCTTCCAGAGTTGCTATGTCTGTCAAATAAGGAAAAAACTGTCCAACAAAATCATCATCAGAACCTGGAACCAGAAGAGAACCAAATGGACCAGGCAATGCACCGTGGAGAAAGTTCTGCCATTTGCTTTCCAGACCTTGATGACACCAAGAAGACATGGACACAATCCCAGTCAGAGAGGAATTATCTGTCAAGAACAAATGACAGTCACTGGACTGACAATGTCTCTGCTAATAAGGTGGATGTTGAAGGTGATTTCAACGGTTAGCATTAAACAAACAATAGATGGACACAATGTTGACATTGTGTAAGCCCAAGATTGCTTTTTGCAATCTTTGACATTTTAAAACCTTTGCATTTACTCACTTGACTTTGTCTATACTAAAACTTTAGTAGTTAAATACTCTGGGCTTGGGTGATCTAGAGGAAATCATAGAAACAAAGAGAAAAATATACATTTAAGTTATAAAACCTAACTCTAAATGGCTAGCTACAGTCTAACCAAAGAACCGTTCTGTTTCAGTGACTAATATCGATGAACATATCTTTGAATTTTCTTTAACGTCAGAATATTTTTGGCACGACTAATCTTTGAACCTTTGCTCTTGATATATTATAGCAAATGTTATAGTCATTAATAGTGATGACGCTCTCTCTTGATGTTATCTCAAGCATCCCCAACTCTGCCAGTGAGAATCAAAACTCTTCAAGAGGCTGAAAGGAACAAGGCTGTTGAAGTTGGTGAACCCGTTGTGCTCCGATGTGAGGTATCAGATCCCAGTGCTCCAGTAACTTGGGCAAAGGATGGAGTCAAACTATCTGAAGAATCTGGGCAAAACCTGCTCACAGAGGGATCCGTCAGGACGCTGGCTGTCCAATCCGCGACGCCGTCTCATGCAGGAATTTACATCTGCAAGACGTCACATGATGCAGTGCAGTTTTATGTGGATGTGAAAGGTGATCATTCATTTATTATGCAAATTTTAATGAAAAACATAAAAATGTTCTGAATTTGTTCCTGGTAGCATTGATTATCTGTAAATTGATACAAATTTGGCACATAATATGAACTGTAAAACCAAGCTTTGTTCAGTAATATATTGCAGAAATATTATTCTGAACCAGATAAATTGTTTAGCAGTGATTTTTAAAAAAGCACAGTGAACTCCTGCTCATTTACGGTTCAGTGTTTGGCAACGTAATTCCATTTGCAAAGATTTTCTGTGGGGCGTATCTTAAAGATTTCAAAGGAAATACAGCTTTGGAAGCTAAAATACCTCGACACAAAGCTAGTTGGCACAATATCTGTCGGCTGGTGTTTGCAAAGCAGACAATCGAGGAGCTGCATTCATTTCCCTTGGCATTGATTGTCTAAACCCACAAGAACGAAGATAAGGAACTTAAAACTCTCCCTAAATGCTGTTCTGGACTTTTATGAGCTTGCTCTCTGCTTACTACAGTGTTTCTCAGTTCTGGGCCTCAGGAAACACTTTCCCTGCATGTTTCAGATGTTTCTCTTTGCCACAACACCTGATTCAAATAACTGCATGACCTCCTCTGCAGCCTGATAATCAACCACTGATTGAAGTCAGAAGGGAAAGATCTGAAACATGCAGAACCTGCAGGACTAGAACTGAGCAACACGAGTCCAACAGAAAGGCTACAAATATTAATTACAAAGATTTCCGGGTGTACATTATAATTTACATTACATATCAGCAAAAACAGCTGAGCAGTTTAGTGAAAGCTTGATAATAATGTAGTTCATTAGGTAATATCATGTAATTATCAAAGAAATAATCAGAAAATTGCCTGACAGTATTCTCAGGGTAACGTATCAATCCATTCGTTGTCACTTTTCAAAGTAAAGTTTTACTCCCAAATCTTTGTTTGTCCATGTTCTTCCAAATCAGTTCTGCATATTTCTGATCTTATGTCAGACGCTCCAGATGCTGCCAGGCTGCAACATTCTTGCCCAGATATCGACTCAAAGTTCTGCACCAGAAAATTAGAATATTTTCAACTTTAAGGCAAGGAGGATTGATTGGTGGCGTTTCTGATCCTTAAAAAGCCTCTGTGGACCTGGATGGAGTCAACAAGCATGACTGGGAGGAATTGCCTCACTGGTCTAAGTCTGAGCAGGGGGTTGCTGTAGGACTTCAGAGATGAGCATTGGCCTCCAGGGTGATGATCGCTCAATCTTAGAGATAACAAAGTTTAGTGAGTGCTTGAAAAAGAGCTGCGGATGTTTCCTCCATTAAAAACAGTGGAAAAGATGGATTGATGTTGGATAATTTGATAAAGTCATGATATTACCCTACTATTTTGTTCATCGTTACCAGTTTATGAGAGTATTATGTTAAATTTAGGTGAGTCTTGTCATTCAATCAGATCAGTGCATCTTATTGACTAATTTTATTCTACATTCAACCCTGTAGTTCCTCCCCTGACATTTGCGGCTTTATCTGAGGCTGACCAGAAAATGACAGTAGTAGCCGGCGCTCCCATAGCTCTGCAGTGCGCGCTGTCAGACCCCTCCGGACAAGTCAGTTGGTACAAGGATGGAAGAAAGCTCCTAGCTCAAAGTGGAGTAGCCATCCAGTCCCAGGGAAATGTGAGAAGTCTGGTTGTGCCGTCCGCTGAGCGAGCTCATACTGGTGTGTACCGGTGCGAGTCAAAGGATGATGACATCCAGTTCTCTGTGGAAGTAAAAGGTGACACCTGACCGTGCTTCTGGCACTAACACTGAGTGCTTATCTTAACGGAGTTTCATCCCTTAACATAAAATTGTTTTCATATTCTGCTTCTTTAATACACAAAGGAAGATTCGTGTTACATCTAATCACAATATTTCTAAATTAAATACCTTTAAAACCTTAACACAATAATTTCAAGAGCTTTACTTTCCTAATGTCTCCTCAGTTTCTGAGTATGAATATCTACTGTATTAAAGACGTTGCATTTCTTGCTTCTTATTCTTTGACTTACTAAACTCACCTGTGGAAGAAAAGAGTAAAAGTTTGAAACTTACCTCTAATCTCTGTTGTGACGTTGGAGATGTCACATGATTCGGTCTTCTTGGTTTTCCTCTTCGAGACACTCTTTGGTTTTTGTCTTTCTGTTGAATATTCGTCATGTCTAATATGCTTTGAGAGAAATGTTTGTCTTGTGCTGGATGTGTTGATAAACTTCAGATAAAATCTCGTGTTTCGAAAATTCTTGTATTACTTCAATAAATGAATGAAGTTGAATATTTACTCTTTCCTTTTGGAATATCTCAAAACTGTAGGGCTGCCTGTGAAGTTCTCAAAACTGCCAGAGAAGGACAGGAACAGATCCGTCGAAGAGGGAAAACCTTTTGCCCTTAGCTGTGAACTCTCTCATGACCCCTTGGCTCATGTCGACTGGTACAAAGACGGGATGAAACTTGGGTCTTGGGACAAAGTGGAAATGAAATCAGATGGTCTGACAAGGACCCTAATCATCCCATCAGCTGAAAGCATTCATGCTGGTATCTATGAATGCTCCACATCAGAGGACAGCATTACCTTTAAAGTGGACGTAAAAGGTGATTGCTTATTGATGTGTCTGAAGAGATTACTGCTGAGTCTGCATGGTGCAAGTATCCTTTGCTTCAAATGGTCTTGAGAAAGTGAGTGGCTGAGATGAGTGTTTTGTCTGGTGTGTGTGAATTCACCACTGTCATTCTCCTCTTGTAGGCCAATCACCAAGGATTATGGCAACCCCATTTACCGAAAAATACAAGCTGATTAGAATCGGTTCTCCAATATTCCTGCAGTGCGAGGTGTCAGACCCTGCTGCTCAGGTTTCCTGGTTTAAAGATGAGCTGGAGCTTTTCTCCAGAACAGGCCTTGATATGAAAAGAGACGGCACCCTGAGGAAGTTAATCGTTCACTCAGCAAAGGTCTCTGATTCTGGCCTCTACAGCTGTAGGCTCGCTGAAGAGGTCGTGACCTTTCACGTGGACATTGAAGGTGACTTTCTGGAACGTATTCCTAACTCATCTATCTTAATAATAATCCATTTGGGAAAGTTGCATGTTTGCACAAGGTGAAACTAATCAAGTCCATCAATAAATGGACAAACTTTGCAAACACTTAAGACTTGCACATACTTTATCCGAAGTGCCACAATCAGCTCTCCTTGACGTAGATGTGAACTCCGTCATCTGCCTCTTCTTTCCCACAGCAGGCCTGGGTCAAACTATCTCAGCAGAGTTCTGCATGAAGTGTTGGTCAGATTTATGCAGAAAACCAATCAGTACTTCCCTTCAGCTCCTCTGCGTCCGGTTTCTGTCTCTGCAGAAGACACAAATACTTTTAAGGAACATTTATCATATGCTGTTTTATTATAAGCCTGGCAGGCCACCAGGCTTTACTTGATCCCCACCAGGCTGAGTTTGTTTGTTTATTCTAAACTGTTTTTTGTTCACCATAAACAGCGACAGTAAAGACGAATGGAGCGAGGTTTCCAAATTATCATGCCTGATTATGCACCTCCAAATTATCAAAACTTTTATCAGTTTCAGTATAAAAACTTGGTGGGTCCCACCAGGCTCGGTAGGTTTTCTGTAGGAAACCTTGCATATCTACACAAATCTTCTGAATATCAGTGCAAACCGTCGCAGGAATGTAAAGTGACGGGTTGTTTCCCAAGTGGTCCCGAAACAACACCAACCGTTCAGCTTCGGATGAAGTATGGCCGACTCTTAAGGCAAACCAAAATATGAACCACACAACTTTAAAACGAAAACTATGCAAGCTTAACAAATCTCATAATATCCACAGCTACTCCTGTGAGGTTCTCAAAGCTACCAGAGGTTGCAAGAAGTAATTTTGTAGGAGCCGGCTGCCCGGTTGAGCTGCAGTGTGAAGTCTCAGAGACAGCTGCTCAAGTTCACCGGCATACAGACGGAGAACGGCTTCTGGAAACCAGTGAATATGAAACCCAAACCAGTGAAAACCTGAGGGGACTGGTGGTTCAGTCAGCAGAAGTCAGGCACTCCGGGTTGTTCAGCCGTGAGGCCACAGAAAACCATATTCAATTCAAGGTGGATGTTGCAGGTGATCTAAGTATTTTGAGCTTTGTGAGAGTAACTAACTTTTAATTGTTCTCTGACCATTCAGCAAAATGAAGTTATAACTCTCATAACCTGCACTAATGATTAATAATCCATGTCCAAATGAAAATGATTGACCATGATGAAGTATTTAAAGCTTCAGTGGTTTGCTCCTCAATGTGATCCATGACTGTTTAGACAACAGTCCAACGACTGACCATAAAATTTCACACATTGAAAGAACGATAATAAATTTGCCAAATGGAAACACCAATTTAGAAACATTTAATTTTTTGATCAAAAGTTTATGTTGAGGTTGTTTTTCAGCCATTTCAAGATAAACACAGAAAGGCTTTTTTCACCTCATACGAGTCACATGATCATCAACCGGATGATGCGTCTGGCGGAAGAGACGAAGAGATGGCTGCATCTCCATTAGACAAAAACTGTGTACATTGAAATTACAAAGTAAATCTGCTCAATGAGCCAATTAAGTCTTCAGGTCAACATTCAGATGTGACTGAATGACATCAGCGTCACAGAGGAAACAACGAGGCGGACGGTCTGTCCTTGTTTTTCCAGACAATGTGCAGACGGTTCCTCACGCGGTTCAGAAAATGATTCTAACGTCTTGAATCCATCGCAGTTTCCCCACAACGCCGGCGTGTCTGAATAAATCTCGTGTGTTCACATCCAGCTCTGCCGCTTTTTGAACATAACTGAAGGCTTGGCCGAGTTTATTCATGTGAGATTTTCAAACTTATTTAATGTCAACAATTGCAAAATAGTTGCTTCCAATATAGAGAAAGTTTTGCACATTTGTAGGAAGCTGCTGTTCATTTCTTCTGTTGAAGGTCTTCGGGTTTTCAGGACTGCACTTCATGTTTCTGGTTTCGACTCATTTGAAGTGAATCTGCTGTTTGACAGGCAGACGCAGAAAGTTCAGCACTAACACGTTTGTGAGAACCTGACTCACTTTGGACTGTCTCCAATAACCTTTAACCTCTCATCCAACTCTGCTGTGTTTTCTGACACATTGATCTCATTCGCCCAGCTCTGCTCCTGCAGTCTGACTGCTGTCTGGTTGTTGCTCAGTGAACATGAAGTCCTATAGCAAGAGTTTGATTCTCAGCTGTTTCAGAGGCTCAGAGGAGCGAATCTGTTGAGGCAGGAAACCTGATCAGAGTGCATGGTGAGATCCCTGCGGTCCAAACCTGCTGCTCTGAGGACGGGATAGAATCGAGCTTAGAGGTCCAGTCAAAGCCCGATAAGGGCGCTGTGGTCATGGAGTCGTCCCTGTCATCATGCTCTGGGGTGTGTGAATGTGAGGCTGATGACGGTGATAAAGATTTCAAGGTGAAAGGTGATATGCTCAGCTTTTTCTTGGCAAGTTATTTTCACTCTTCAGTTTGTTCATGTTCACAGCTTTTAATATGTAAGAAAGCAAATCATCATCATTCTCATAAACACCATAACAGATTTTATTCCAATGCCATTAAATCTGCAGTATGTAACTTTTATCAAACATTTATTCATTTACATATTTGTTGAACTTGTTGCTAAACTATAATATTGTCGTTTTGAGGCCATTTTTAAGCAATATAAGAGTAAAATTGGTTAAAAATAATAATGCAAAACCAATAAACTTTAAATTCCAGTGAACATTTAACACAGGAACCGGAGGACATTTTAGATATATTTTAGAAAATAAAATTAATTCTCAAGTCTTTGTAAAGAAAATTATCCTTCAAAATAAAATTTAATAGAGACTGAAGACTTTTATCATTCAGTTTAGATAGAAACAGAAAAACAATAAATCAGTTTATTGAGGTCATTTTAATTGATCGATTGTTTTATTGTTTTTGCTACATGCCTGGATATGAGACAGATAACCTGTGGAAAAATCGAGCTCCTTTTCCCAGTGCTAACTAGAAATAACCAATCAGAGCCAGGAGGCGGGGCTTAGTGTTGTCCATCACCCTCTGTGTGGCTCTCTGCTACGCTGCTGCTAGCATAGCATGTCGTGAATGCTCAGGCTAGTTAGCATAGCCTCTGGTGATGGTGGATAATCTGTTTTCTTGTATTGTTTCTCATACATGAGATTGATTGACAACGCAAAGCCCCGCCTCCTGGCTCTGATTGGACGTTTTCAGTGCATCTCTTCAGACAGCAATAGGAACTCAGGGAAATCCATCTTTTCACAGATTTTCTATCTCATAATCTGTCACAAGGTGACATTAATATGTAAAAAACATTTTCTTTATGATAGTTTCCTACTGCAGCTTCAACGCTCTTAGAAATATGAATGACCTGTCATGTTTTCACCCGTCATCACCAACGCATCGCCTCTAAGATGCTCCCAGTTTAACTGAATATTAACTCTGATCCTCACACTGTGTGCTGTGAGTCTGACTGCATAAAAAGCTGCTGGGTTTCAGTCACTGAGCTTTTCTCCCTGTTTCCCGCAGCGCCGCCTGTAACGTTTACCGACATCCCAGAGAAGGACCTTTTCCGAACCGCTGTGGAGCAAGAGCAGCTTGTTCTGTCGTGCGAAGTGTCCAGAACCGACGGCGCGGTCCAGTGGTACAAAGACGGAACCGAAATACAACCGAGCGTTCATGTTTCATTGGAGGCCGATGGCGCCAAGAGAAATCTGGTCATAAAATCAGCCAAACTGTCTGACAGCGGCGCTTACACATGCCGCACAGGAGACAACATTTTGATATTTAAAGTCAACATCAGAGGTAATCAGCTTCTGGAAACACATTCCCAGAAAAGCTGATGAGTTTTAATCCACTTTTCCTCCACAGAGCCGCCTGTGATGATCGTTTACCCCAAAGAGGACGTCCACCTGGACCGCCACGTCCCGGAGGAAATCATCCTGAGCTGCGAACTGTCCCGACCCAACGGCGCCGTCGGCTGGTTCAAGGACGGCCAGAAGCTGCAGGAGAGCGAGAACATCAAGCTGAAGTACGAGGGTCCGTACCGGCGACTGAAGATCCTCTCCAGCAGAGTCGAGGATTCTGGCGAATACGTCTGCGACACGGCGGACGACTCCATATTCTTCCATTTGAGCATTACGGGTAAAATCTCTGGTTCTGCCGCTGGAAGTTTGCTTTTTGTTTGAATTTCAGTTTAGAATTTGGTGCCACGATGCTCCAGGTGGCATCGCAGAACGGAAGAGGACAGAGGATGAGTTTAGACCTTTACTGAGGTCCGTGGATGAGATTGGCTAAATATCCACCAATAACTGACTGGTCTGGATTTGACCAGGCTGCGGAAACTCTATGACTGTAGAAAAAATAGGATTGGTGAATTCTTTCATAGCCTGAGGTCTAAGGGTAGTTCAGGTAATTTTAGAAAGAAAAGACAAGATTCTCTTGTACATGTTTGTTTTTTAGCTTTTCAAACATCTTTACCAGGTGTGCCAGTAAAATATGGCCTCTTTCTTACCATGACGCTCTGCCACACATGTTTTAGACTAATTCCCAAATGTGGAGAAGCAGCATTCAGCTTTTATGCATCACAAAACTGGAGCAAACTTCCAGAAAACTGCAAACCAGCCAAAACACTGAAATCCTTTCAATCTAGACTAAAACCCCAAATGTCTAGAGCTGATTTGATAACTGGATCAATTAGCAACATTTAGGATGCAAAATAAATTTACTAGCTTGTCAAATTGGTGGCTGATGTTTTTATGAGTTTTTGTGTTTTTATGATGTGCTACCAAAATAAACTTTATTATTTTGATTTAATGCAAAATAATCCTTAAAATGTTATTGTCCAATGGAGAAAAACAACCAAATTTGAATGATTGATGATCCAGTTGCATAATTCCTACTTTGGAATTAGAAAATATTTGGTATATTTTCGTCAAAACGTTCATTTCTTAAGGCGACGCCCGCTTTATCTCGGTTGATAAAAAGCCTCCATGTCCGTTTCCAGAGCCTCCGGTTCAGATTCTGTCGCCCAGCCAGTCCCAGATGGAGCTGTGTCAGCAGGCGTCGGAGCGGATGGTCCTGAGCTGTGAGATCTCTCGGCCCAACGCTGTGGTGCGCTGGTACCGAGACGGACTGGAGGTGGAGGAGAGCGAGAGCCTCCTCCTGGAGGTGGACGGCGTCTACCGGAGGCTCATCATCCCGGAAACGACGGTCAGAGACTCAGCAGAATACGTGTGCGACACCGGAGACGATTCTGTGACGTTTTTTGTGAACATAGCAGGTAAAGAAACGGTAAAGAGCATCCATCCACTCCAGTGTTTTCATCTCACTGACATTTCTTGGGCTCTTGAATGTGCAGAACCTCCGGTGCGGTTTTTGCGCCCGCGGAAGATGGCGAGCAGAGTGGAGAAAGTGGTTGGTGAGACTTTGGTTCTGGACTGCGAGGTTTCCAGGTCCAACGCCGAGGTGACCTGGAAGAAGAATGGAGAAGAAGTGGAGGACTCCAGGAAGGTCACGATCCTGGAAGATGGCGTCGCTCGTCAGTTAACGATTCATTCTGTAACGCTGGAAGACACCGGGCAATACGTGTGCGACGCGAAGGACGACGTGATGGACTTCAATGTCAGAGTGCAGGGTGGGTTATGTTTTATCATGGCAGCAGAATAGATGAAGAGAATACCCAGAATGCCCTCTGTTGTAGTCCGCTTCCTGCTTTTGGAGCGCTCTCTGGTCCGCTTGGCATTCACATTTACATTCAAACCAATCCAGAGTTCACTTAAACCGAACCAAGACCGAGGTTTGGAGCGTTTGATTAGCATTAGACTTTGTAGACTGGAGTTTAGTTAAAGTGACTAATCAGGACTGGTGTGAATTCACCCCAATGCTTCTCATTGATAGCCAAGCTAATAACAGATCAATAATTTGTTTTGTTCACAGATTTGCCTGTAAGAATCCTCGGTAAAACTGATGCAAAGACAGAAAAGCAGTTCCTAGTTTCAGATGACATCATCCTGGTGTGTGAGCTGTCGAACGCCGACGCGTCCGTCCGCTGGCACAAAGACGGGCAGCCGATTGACGGCAGCCAGAGGTTCTGCTGCGAAGAGCAGGGCGTTTTCCGCTCGCTGGTCGTCCTCAACGCCGGCCTGGAAGACTCCGGAGAATACAGCTGCTACGCCGGAGACGACAAGATGGCCTTCACCATCACCGTGAGAGGTAAACAGGCTGGCCTCTCCGAACAGGGACATATTGGGCTTTTAGATGCATCACATTAAACCAGGGTGTCCAAACTTTAAATTCATTAAGTTAAAACTGTTTGTTTTACCTCCTCAACAATAAACAGTTTTTATTAAATCTGTGTTTGCTATCTTTGCTGGGCGATAAATCATCCCAGAAATTATTGCGCTGAGCGATAATATTGTCGTTTTCAGTCTATTTAAGCTTTTATGATAATGATAAAAAATGAGTAAACTTTAATTTCTACAGACCAAATAACACTGGAGGAGATTTCAAATATCCAAAATAAACAGAAACAATAAATAAAATGGGAATAAAAATCACAACACAACTGGAACCATGAATATATTGAATCATAAAATCTCTGTAAACAAAACTATCCTTCAGAAATATTAATCATTAGAATATTAATCATTAGAACATTAATCATTAGAATATTAATCATTAGGCTCAGACAGGTAAAACAGCCAGTTAGGACTTTAACTTTTAACTGCAAATATTGGGTTTTTTGTCCATTCTGGGCAATAAAACAAATGATTTAGGTCACGTTCATCCAAAAGTATATAAGCAATGTTAATAAATTTATGAACACCAGATGTGTTGATCAAAAGAGAAAAACAAAAGCCTGAACTTTTAATATTTTGCCTCCTTGTTCATCTCCAGGCTGGTTAATGTGTTTCTGTTCAGAACCTCCAGTGCAGATCATTGGGAACTCTGGGAACCCGGAGCATCATGTGATGGTAACAGGAGACGACCTCATCCTGGAGTGTGAAGTTTCCAGAGCCAGCGCCGACGTGGAGTGGACCCGGAACGGAGAGGCTCTCCGGCCCAGCGACCGGATCCGGATCGACAGCTACGGCGTCGTCAGGAAGTTGGTCCTCTCCGGGCTCCGGCCCTCAGACTCTGGGGAATACGTGTGTGAAGCCGTCGACGACAAGCTGGTCACAGTTGTGGAGGTTCAAGGTCAATCAGAACGTTTCTTCCTTAAAGCTGAAGCAACTTTTACAAAAAATGTTTTTTTACAGTTTATGAGACAGAAAATCTGTGAAGGAAAACAATTTCCTCTTCTTCATTCCTGAGCTGCTACTACTGTAAGACATGCAACCAATCAGAGTCAGGAGGAGGGGCTTAGCGCTGTCAATCAACCTCATGAGCTTGCTGCTAAATGTTCTAATGGTGGGGAAACAACGTCCTATTACAGGGAAATATTTATCTGTGATTATGATTATGGAGCTGAATTAGTCTCAGAAAGATCCACAAAGCTACAGTAAGACCCGTTTAAATGTGTGTATGTCAGAATCTAATAACTTTAATGTAAATCTTTAATACAGTTATTTTTGGACGACATCATCACACTCAGACTCTCCAGCTTTTCTTCTGCGATACCTGAGAAAGTCTCAAAAGTGGAAAACGCAGCGAGCCGATTATAAGCTGCTGATTTGTGTATTTGGTGATTCGTATGCATAGTTTATTACAACTTGTTCATTTGAGAAACTGCTTACACACATGAATGTTGAGCTTTTATTTATCATGTTCTGCACATTTATGAATCATATTGAACATTTAGTCTTGTGTACACTTTGAGAATCTTTCTGAGTCTTATTTAGCTTCATACATGCTAACTACTATTAGCATTCTCAAATGGAAGGTGATTGGCAGCGCTAAGACCCGCCTCCTGGCTCTGATTGGTTGTTTGTTGTTGGCACTGAGACGAGCTGTTTCAACAAATATGTCAAATAAAAATATTTTTTATAAAAGTTACAAACTGCAGCTTTAACTGGGTCCTTGTAGCTGCTTGTTTTCAGTTGCAGTTCAGACGTTTAGGGTTTGTAGCTTCATATCTTTTGGTCTGAATTCTTTGAGAAACTTGTTTTTCTCTCCCTCAGATCCCCCGGCCAAGTTTCTTAATAAAGAAGGAAAGAATAGCATGTCAGCTCATGAGAATGAGAGCGTCACATTGTGTGCCGTTGTGAGCAGTGAAAGAGCTAATGTCCGCTGGCTGAAAGACGGCCAGCTGTTGAATAAGGACAACATTCATATCTCCAGTGAGGGTAAAACTCATAAGCTCACCATTAATCCTCTGCAGCTGTCAGATTCTGGAGAATATGTCTGTGACGTAAGCACGGATGAAATGTATTTCAGTCTTTTAGTCGAAGGTAAGAACGCCCTCTGCTGTGACCTTTACCCTGACTTGCTTGTTAAAAGTTCAGAATTGTGATTTCTTTGCTTTTTTTGCAGAAATGAAGGTGAAGTTTGTCCATCGTCTAGAGAACGTGATCTCTCTGAAAGGTAAAACTCTCACACTGCAGTGTGAGGTGAACAAGCCTAAAGGAGATGTGCAGTGGCTCAAAGACGGTAAGGAGATAACGCCAAGTCGCCGCTGCACAATACGAGCCCAAGGCCGGGAGCGAAGCCTGACCATCCAGCAGCTGACGGACCAAGACGCTGGAGAATACGCCTGTGAATCCAGAGACGACCGAACGGCTGCCACTGTCAGCATCGAAGGTAAGTCACCATCACTCCTCAAACTCAAGAGGTTAAAGGTCAGAATAGATCTATAGGCCATACAAAACATGTTCATTACTTATTTTTGCTCAAAATTACTCCTAGATAATGATATTTTAGTTGTATCAGGGCGTACTGTCACTTTAAATCCAAATAGGCTGCTGCCGGGGTTGCTAGGCGACGGGGCAGAATGCTGCCGGGGTTGCTAGGCGACGGGGCAGAATGCTGCCGGGGTTGCTAGGCGACGGGGCGTTACATTTCAGAGTTTTTTTAACGGCTCGTTTTCCAAACACCATCAACATCAGGCTGAATAACAGCTGAGTGGGTTTTTTTTAAGCCTGTGTTGTTTTCAGAAGCAGTAGAAACCCAAATGGAAAAATGGAAAAATGTGAATTTTGTATACTTTATCCCCTTTAATGTAAATTTTTTACCTGGAAATGTGACAGATGTGTAACGATGATTTTCAGCCCCCCGCGTTGTGGAATTCATCGCTGAGCTGCGCAGCATCACCATCCGGGAAGGAGAAGATGCCGTGTTTAAGTGCATGGTCTCACCGGCCGACACCACCTTGGTTTGGCGTCTGAACGGAAAGGACGTCGCTCTGAACAAGCGCACCGCCGTCTCCTGTAACGGCCTGTGCCACATGCTGTGCATCAGCAGCTGCTTGGTGTCAGACAGCGGCAGAGTGACGGCTGACGCTGAGGGCCTGAGGTCAGAGGCGGAGCTAACGGTCCAGGGTGAGTCCTTCATGTCTCATAAACAACAGACTGTCTCTAATTAAACATTTAGCTCCTCTGGCCCTTAATTAACTACAAAACAAGTTTTAAATTATACTTATACATGGTGCATTGGAGAGTTATGCTAGCTTGACTATGACTACCTCAACATGCAGGTGTGCTGTGGAATTTGATGCGTTTCGGTTCATTTGAAAGATAAACGGCGACCTATAAACCCACTCTGACAGATCATCAGTAGTGTTTAAATTAGCTAATCAACCACCTCTGTGTTAGCTTAGCTTATAGCTAATCTACCACAGTGATCACTTAACAGTAATCACAAAATAAACATCAAGCCTGAAACATAAAACTGAATGTTCTGGTCTTTGTGTGGGAAATGGTGTTGAATCCTGATATGTTAGTGGAGCTGTTGTCAGTCGGGCCAGTTAGCATAGCAAGCGATCACAGCGAATGAAAGGTTTTCCTGTAAGGTGAAGAGTGATACATGAAATTGATCGACAGAAGCCATGTTGTGTTCAGATTTTAATTTCCTTTTTATTTATTGTTTTTGGTTGTTTTGGATGTTTAAAATGGCTTCCAGTTTCAATGTTAATTGTTCTGTTAATTGGCTCTGATTGGCTGTTTTGGTTCGTTTCTTCACAGTAACAGTGGCTCAGGCAGATCATCTTAATTTAATAAATTATCTTCTGAAAATAAACTTACAAATATGTAAGGGACATGTTGTTTCTCATGAAAATCAAAGTTGCGTCCCGTAGCTTTAAGCACTGAATGTCAGAGGCTGCTGTCCTGTGGTCTGTATTTGTCGTTTCCAGAGCAACAGGCGCTGTTCACAAAGAAAATGGCAGCCGTTGTGGCTGAGGAGTTCAGCGAGGCGACTCTGGAGGTGGAGGTCAGTCAAGAGGCGGCGGAGGTCCGGTGGATGCGGCAGGGGATCCTGATCCACCCCGGCGCCAAGTACACCCTGAAACACCGCGGCCGGACCCACAGCCTGACCGTCCACCAGGTGGCGGCGGCCGACCGGGGCGCCTACAGCTGTGAAACCCTCCACGACCGGACGCAGGCCCAACTCGCCGTGGAGCGTCAGTGTCCTCATGTTCTCACCATGTCCTGTTGCTGTTTGTTTACCGCCGTCACCGACAACTCCCCCTGCTTCTTAATTAGCGGTAATCTGAGTTTACTGGGAACAGAGGCAGCATGTACTGGGACGGAATGGCAACCAACAGGTGACATCTCAATCAAACCCAAGACGCAGAACGAGGTCGGCATTATCAGACTCGAGCGCTGCAAAAAAAAAGAAAACACCAAATCTGACCCAGAATTCCTGGTCCAGTTCCAAGTGCAAATAAACTGAATGGAGCTGCTTATTTTAAATGAATAATCCCACAATATTGATTTAAAGTTCCAGTTCCACTGGCACAATATTCCACTTATGTTACCTAACAACCCAGTTCTAATTACACTGGCAAATAAAACATCTGCTTGATGTTTTATTTTATTTACTCATTGCTTTTATTTTTGTATTTTTTACTCTTTTCATCAACTTATTGTGTCGTTTTTGTGCTGCACTTTGGTGCCGTTTTAAACCTGCTTCTAAAAATGCTACATGGAGATATTTGACATCGACATGTTATAAGCTAAATAATCAGCCAGAGGAACAAGAACTTTTTCATCAATATTAAAGAATTGTTGATTTGAATAAAGCTTATGGCATATCGACATGTTTTCAGTAGAAACTCGTCCAAAAACACATTTGTTTTTGCAGTGAGAGGACATATGGTTATTCTCCTCTGGGTAGAGATTTTCTTGGTGACGTAAAACCTTGTTGACGTCGAGCCTCTGCTAAACATCTTGTGGTCATTAAGATGCACTTATTCTAGGGTTTCCTCCTGCTTCTGCTGCGCAGGCTGCAGGCGAGTGGCTGAATTAAAGGCTGCTCTTTCAACACTTGTGCAGGTGGGAAGGGGAAAGTTGGGACTTCGGGTCGCTGTTGGCACATCCTGTGAATTTTGATCTACTCTCACTGCGTCTAAATTTACACACTGGCCTTCAAAACTCAGGCTGTTGTCATCAGGTCTCCAAAATAAACACTCTTTTTTTCCACTGGGAATGTTTATGTATGCCACAATAAGTGAAAAACTTATTTTTTGTTGGAGGGTCAGCGGCTCGAGCGGCTAAAACCGGCCAGCTGAACAGAATCCAGAGCCATTGTGTGAAAGAAGCGACACCATTCCTCCTGTCGGTCTGTCCCCCGGATAAATTCCTGTCTTTTGTGCTCTGATGCCCCACAGCGCGAAAAATCAGCATCAGGCGTGGGCTGACAGACATTAAAACCACGGAGAGAGAAACGGCATCGTTTGAGGTGGAGCTGTCCCACCCCAACGTCCCGGGAACCTGGACCAGAAACGGGATCCAGCTGAAGCCGACCAACCACTTCCGCATGAGCGCCAAAGGGGAAGTGCACAGCCTGACCATCACCAACCTGTCGGTGGAAGACACGGGCAGCTTTGTGTTCAGCGTGGAGAACCTGAAGACGTCGGCTCGGCTCGTTGTGAAGGGTAGGAAACCGACAGGAAGGTCAACAGATCAGCAGCTTCCATCAATACTTCCTAAAGCGTTTTTATGTCTTCGTCTTTTGGATGGAAAGAAATAGGGATTTTGGCAAATAAATTACGACCTTTTTCTCTCTAAAACCCCGACATTTTTGGCAAAAATAACTTTAGGAAGGTGCCAATATTACGTAGACAATGGAAGAAAATGGAGCAGCACTCTGAGTGACTGACTGGCAGTCAGAAAGAGGACGCATGCAGCTTGAATCTAAGCGGCCATGTTGCTCTGAAGCAACTGGGTCTGGAGTTTGTTTCCCTTAAAGGGGGAATATTCTGTCTTTGTAGCATTTTATCGCACAATCAAGTAAATCAGAATATACTCTATGTATCAAAGACGACTTAAAAAAATTGACTTTGTTATTTAACGCCTTGAAATTGGGCCTCGGGTTCTTTAAGACTACTTCCTGTTCGTTTTGAAGCTTCGCCTCCAGGAAATCATCCCAACATGGCTCCTCTATTTAACAACATTTTTACCAGCCTTGCTCTGAGAAGTAGCTCCTATAAAGAGTTCAGCAGGTGATTGCTAATTGCTCCTGGCTAGTCTGAAGGAGCTAAAATCTGTGAAGCATTGCTGCCAATCAAATTTTAAAGAATATTTTTAACACGTTTTACTAAAAATATCCACAATTAGGTGAATTTTCCACACAAAAATTAAAAAAGAAGATATGGAGAAAGTCAGAATACAACAAATGAACATTAAGTTATTTTCTCATAAAATAATGTAAAACGGCTTTATGTTGTTTTTAGTTCCTGGCTCCAACATTCTTCACCTGCCAAGCTGTTTCACACCTGTTAACATGACGACTGCCTCATCAGCTGGGAATGCCTCTGGGTCTCATGACCTTTACCCTTCAGCTGACTGTCGGCTGCTCTGGAAACTGCCTGCAACTCATTTCTCTTGTGATGCCACTGCTGGTCCTATTCCAGGCATAACGACAGGTTTACGTATCCGTCAATATAGGATTGTGTCAACGCCAACCCGTCGCTTTGTTTTAATCATTTATAGATTTAACGCACCAAATAATTAAACTGTAATCGTTTTGCTGCCACCTCAGGCTGCAGCTGTGGCCACACGGCCGCCATGACAGGCATGATAATAGCAGGGAGTGGCGCTCTGCTGCTGCTGCCTTCATCCAGGCTCACGTTACAAAGAAAATAACCTCCAGCCACCCAATAAAAAGCTCTGGCTTGTTCACTCAGGTTGATGTTTTCTCACTCCTGTGAGCTGCTGATGACACGCAGAGGATCAGGCCAGAAACGCCACATTTATATGAACGGATGTTCATATAAAGATACAAATAATAAGTGATTTTGTTCTTCTCCAGAGCCTCCAGTGACCATCATCAGGAAGCTGGAAAACCAGAAGGTTCCTGACGGGTCGGTCATCTCCTTCGACTGTGAGCTGTCCAGACACAACGTTGATGTCAAATGGCTGAAGGTTTTTATCTTTATTTACATTTCACTGAAAGGCTTTTCTAAAACTGCAGCACCCTACAATCCTGAGCTGGAAAGTGAATTTGTGAAAACTTTTGTATTGTGGTGAAGGGCCAAACAAAATCATGTTGAGGGCCACAAATGGCCCACGCTCCACACTTTGGAAACCTCTGTTTTAGAAGGTTTTGAGCAAAGGTAGAAACTACTGAACTATCTTATCCTTTGCAAATAAATGCTGAGTAAAACGAGAATGAATGTCTGCTCTGTAGTCATCCATTAAACTGTTTCCTGTTGAATAATCAATAATCGAACAGGAAGTTTAATCGATTTTATTTTCTTTCAGGACGGCGTTGAGGTGAAGCCCAGCAAAGACGTGCGTATTTATGCGATGGGAAGGAAGCGCTTCCTGCAGATAATGAAATGCAGCGCGGCGGATTCCGGCCTGTACGCCTGCGACGCTGGTGATGCTGCCACTTCCTGCTCAGTGGAGGTTTACGGTAACGCACCGTTAAATACCTGCATTTTCTAAAACATGTTCAACAGGCTGAATTAACTCTATTTAAGTCACTGTATGAATATATGTCAGATTATTTTACTGTTATATTAAAAAAGATAAAGGATTCTGTAAAATATTCCTTTATTAGCTTCGGTAGTAAATAAGATGTAAAATCTTTTGTTACTCAACACTGCCCTCTGCTGGCATCTACCAAATATTACAGGCTTTCATTTTGTATGTTTTTATAACTAGAAATTAAAACATAAAAAATTTAGAAATTATTTTTTATTGGAAATTTGTAAAATTAAAATTTTGATGTAAATTTTAACAATTTTCCCCAAAACTCTGTTTCTCATTTAAACTAACAATTTATAATAAATCTGTAAAATATTTGTGGAGAATTGAAAGAAAAGAAGAAACAGTGAAAAGATGCTGGTTGTATTTCAGGCCTGGTGCTTTGCGAAAACGTCTGGGACGTTTTGTGGCGCATCAGGTTGTGATGGTGAGTTTGTGGTTTAAAGTGTCTTCGGTGGGTTTTGTGTCTGCAGAGCGTGAGCTGCTGGTCCTGCAGGGTCTGGAGGATTTGGACATCCAGGAGGATCAGAACGCCGTGTTCGTGTGTGAGATCTCAGTGGAAGACGTTCCGGGGGAGTGGTTCAAAAACGGCGAGCGGATCCAACCGACCAGCACCGTCAGGATCCGGCAGGAAGGTCAGGTTCTGCCTTTAGAGGTTAAACAGGAAATAAAACCCTGGATGACGCCTGTCTTATTATTGACTGCTTTCAGGAACGAAACATTTTCTCCTCATGTGTAACGTGCGATCTGAAGACTCCGGGGAGATCAAGTTTGTTGCCAGAAACGCAGAATCTGTTGCTTTCCTGGAGGTGGAAGGTAAGAAATTCAACTTTCATGAAAAACTAACAGAGACGCATCAGAAAGTCATTGATTATTCAGTCTGATTATTAATTAGTGGTGATAATAACAGTGGTTTCATTGGACCAGGGGTGTCCAAAGTGTGGCCCAAGGGCCATTTGTGGCCCCATGGATAAGTTTTTTGCGGCCCCTGACTGCAATCCAAAAATGAAACAAACGTGAAACTCCAACACTGTCGTCGTTTTTAGTTTGAGATTTTCTGTGGTAAGTTTATTTCGTGTTAAAGGGAAAACCGAGAGGTTTTTCTTTAGTTAGCCTGTTTTTTCATTTTTATCTCAGAATTTGTTGCGTCACAAACATCACTCAAAAACAGTTATTGTTGTTCCTGGGATTAACTAAAACTATTTTGGGTTTTTAAAAATTGGAAACTTTTTTTTTTCTGAACAGCAAAATAATTTGTGATTCGTCCGTCTTCTCCCAGCAGGAGAAAACAAGCAAATTTATCACTTTGTGATTCTTATGTCTGTGGATGTTTTACACATTTTTACTGAGATTTGTTTTTATTTTCATAATTATAATATTGTTTCTTTTAGTGTCCCCGGCTGCTTGGTGCTCTACTGGCTTTTCTGAAACATCAACAATAGATTACTGGCTCCTTTTTTCTTAAATGTGGCACCATTTGTGCTCCAGAGCTGCCGGTGAACATCGTGAAACCTCTGCAGGACACGAGCGCTGTGGAGAAGAGCCGCGTGCTCCTGGACTGCGCCGTGTCCAACCCGCGCTGCAGCATCCGCTGGTACAAAGGCAGCAACGTCGTCCTGCCCTCCGAACGCTTCGAGATCTGCAGCGAAGGCTGCTACCGCAAACTCATCATCCAGCAGGTGGCGCTGGAGGACGAAGGCACCTACAGCGTGCAGGTCGGAGACCACACATGCTCCGCCAAGCTGACCGTGGAAGGTAAACAATTTATGTTCTTTTGTTACTTTTATTTGCATGTTTTTCATTAGAAAGCTTAGAATCTGTAAATAACTAAAAACGCTCAGTCAGCCGCCTCCTGACCGCAGCCGCCTCCTGACCGCAGCCGTCCTGCGTTTTTATTCTGCAATGCGACGGCTGCAGACATCTGTCTACTGTCAAAAACAGTCCAAGAAACTAAACCAAACTGCCTGCGCTGGCTTGAAATGTAACAGATTATAATCAAACATTTCCTTTTTTGTCTAAATTTCTTTAAATTTTACTTAAAATCCACGTAACTTTAAATCTAATTTGCTGTTTTTGTTTTATATTTCATTAAAAATCCTCTTAACTTTAGGTTTTAAAGCAGAAAAGCTGATTACTTAACATGAAACTGCCATGTTTAAATTTAGTGCTTGAGGTAATTAATAATTACTTACAGATTACTATTCCATCTTGGTTTTCATTGGTCAGATTTGTTCAGTTGTCTAAATGTTTGACTCGCTGTCAGACGTCTTAACTGTTTTCTCGTGTTTCTCATGGTTGCTGTCTCGCTCCGGTCCGCTCACCAGCCCAGCCCGTGCTGATGGTGCGGGAGCTGACAGACGTGGCGGTGTCGGCGCCTGACGACGCCCGCTTCGAGTGCGAGGTGTCGGCGGCGGCGGCGGCCCCGGCGTGGAGCCTGAACGGCGAGCCGCTGCAGCCCGGCCCGCGGGTCCGACTGGAGAAGATGGGGACGGTCCACAGGCTGACGCTGCGGCAAACCGCGGCCGACATGAGCGGCCTGGTGGAGTTCACGTCCGGGAAAGCCAGAAGTCAAGCTCAGCTCCGAGTCGCAGGTAGGAACAACTGATTACACTGCAAAAACACAAAACCTCCCCACGCAGTTATTGAAGTTTCTACTGAAAATATCAATAAAAATGAGACAAAACTAACTTAAAAGTGACTTTTCAGGAACTTGTTATAGTTTGGTGTCAGTAAATAATTCCAGAATATTGATGAGAGCTGCCATCAATAACTTGGAAGGATTTTTTGCTTTTGCAGTGTTCATGGTGCTTCACAAACATCAGCTAATCTAAGTTTTGTTCAAAGCATAAACTAATTAAACTGAAACAAATGTATTGACCCTGGAAAATAGTTTTACAACAAAGAAATGTTCAAAACAACTTTTCAGATTCAAGATTTCAGTTAAAAAAAAAAATTCCTTTTGAACAAACCTTTTGGCACCATTTTAGTTCCATAATTGAGCTAAGGTATTAGAGTATTTTAATATTTGATATATGCTTCAATATATTCCAGTTTTCACCAAATATTTTGAAGCTTTGTCCAAAGAAAATCCAGAAAATATTGAACCACAAGCAGGAAACTGGATGGACGTCAGTGTCAGTTCTCCTGTTGACCACTAGGTGTCAGCAGAGCTTCATAATGAGGTTCTTTTGGACCCGGTTCAGTTTTTTTGTCACAATTTAACCAGAAAGAGCTGCAGTGTTGGGGGTTACTTGAATAATTATATTATTTAGTATTTCTACTGGATTTTCAACCCACTGAATGAAAAATGTTTCACAAAAAAAAAAAAACAGATTTAGAAAAAATTTGATATAAATGTATATTTTTTGCTAGATTTTGTTATTTATGTGAATTATTTTCCTGTTTATCTTTAAAATAGAAAAATGTTGATTTAACTTTATATTTTGATCCGTCTGTTGTGTTTTTAAAAAATCCAATGATTGTTTTGATCAGTAACTCTTTGTAAATACTTTTTCACTCTATTAATTTCTTGGATACTTTATACTGTAATTTTTTAACAAAAAATTCACCAGACGGCTGTTTTTATTCACAGTACATGAGTTTTATTTTGAAATAAATTAATCTGGTAAAATTTTTATTTTATGAATTATATAATTTAGATGAATTATTTAGGTTCTGGTTCTTAAGACAAAAATTTCTTCTAAACTTTATATTTTGGTCAGTCTGATGATGTAATGTTTAAATATTAAATGATTGATCATTTGATTAAATCTTCAGTCGCCTTTTTATCTACTTTTTACTTGAGTAAAAATAAGCTGAAGTAGTTCTGCTCATTTTTAATGATAATCAGTTTGGTAGAAAAATTACATGCTTTTCTCTGCAATATTAAACCTGAACACTAGGGGGCGACAAGAACACAGCTTTGAGTTTCTTCCGTATCTCAAATTGGACAAGCGAAGAAAAAGTTGTCAAAATGTCAAGATTTATCCGACCAAATCAGCTGAAAATGTGAATAAAAACGCAGATAAGTGATTTTTACCTGTCCTGGTGGTGTGTGTGTGTGTGTGTGTGTGTGTGTGTGTGTGTGTGTGTGTGTGTGTGTGTGTGTGTGTGTGTGTGTGTGTGTGTGTGTCAGTGAATAGGTGGGACGGTTCGGCACCCAGGGGTGCCACGTTCTGTAAATAATGCCAGGTGTTTATGGTCCGACTATCAGTGGGTATGTAGGTCAGGCAACGCGGCAGCGGCCCAACGAGCTGCTGGGATTATTTTTAGTTTTATTATGATGTCTCAGATTAAACCGAGTTCCATCATCTGACCCAGATACTGAAGTTTAATTGCTCTGAAAGTGTCGAGCTGAACCTGAACCACAGACACAAAAGAGTTTATTAAATATTAATGAAGATATTCAGTTTCCTACAAAAACTGACACGTTTACGTAACAGAAAACTGTTCTGCTTCACTACCTAGACTAAATAAAATCTATACATTTAAATTTTAGTTAAAAATTAAATGCTTTTTACTCATTTTAAAGTTTTAAACTCATCTACAAATATAAAAGCCTTCTGATATACAAATTATTCATAAAAGTCCTGCTGTCTTCTGTTTATAAAGTCAAAGAAAGCTTAAATTTGAAGTTTAAATTCAAAACAGACTCTAAAATCAGAATCAAGATTGACAAATTTTAATTAATTATTTTCTATTTATATTTTATTTTTTCTCTTTATTTGTCTTTTCTCTACTGTATTTATTTTACCTCAATCTGTTAACATTATTGTTATTTCTGTACAAGGTCCTTTGCCACATTTACCAGTGCATTATTAATAAAAACACATTTGAAAAACACAAACAGGATAATAAAGATTAATTACTAATTTCTTTGTACTTTCGTTTTTATAGCAGCTTTACTTTAAAAATGTATAATTTCTCTGTTTTGTTTTCACAGAAAATCCCTGAAGGAAACTCCAACCCTGCAGTCGCCTGACGCTTCAGTCATGTATAAATATTTTATTTAGTCTCTTTGAAAGCAGCTTAAACTCCCTTACTGTCTCCTGAAACTTATTTTAAGTCAAACTGTATCTTCTGTTGTGTTGTAAATAACGTTGAAGTGATTTGACTGGACCTGGTTTGTTTGTTTTAGCGTCAATAAACAGCGAGATGATTCAGATACTATTTACGGTTTGGTTCAAGCGTTCGGGTTTGTTACAGTTTTAAAATCTACACACTGAATCCCTGAAATCAGAATTTGAAATAAAAATGACGTTTTTTTTCTTAACACCACCAGAGAATTGGAAACAAATTAACATGGACAAGTTAAGAAAACAGTTATAAAGAGTCAAGCTTACGGCTACTGAGCATCAAGCTAACAGGTGATCAGTGTGAAGCTAACATCTGAGTGCTAAGCTAACAGGTACTGAAAGCTAAAAGGTACTCGGCATTAAGCTAACAGAGAATTTTGTTTTTGTTGGAATGGTGAAGAGGGAAAAGGAGCTTAATTTTGAAGATGATTAAAATCTTGATGTACAAAAACATGAAGCTTAAAATGGTTGTTTTGTTTGTTATTCAGTCAAAATGAATGAAAACAGCAAAACAAAAATTGAAGAAATAAAGTTAGGTGTATCGTTTATGAATTTGGTGATGCAGATGAGCAAACTACTGATTAGAGGGATGGATAACTTCCTGTATGGCTAACTGCTAATATGGCTATGCTAAAGCCATTGCTAATATCCATCTGATATGAAGATATGTTAGATTCCATTTTAAAAAATACCTTTTTTAAATAATTTCATATGTTAAAGTTGTTACTTAAAACATTAAATATTCTCAGTTCCCTTTTCAAACCCATGTGTTCATTACCAGAACTCTACTTTGTTTAAGCCTTTACATATATCAAAGAAATTTGTTTCCTAAATAAAAGTAAAAAAAAAAAAAAGTATTTTAACATGCAAATAAACAATCACTTTTTTTTAACTAAAAGCAGTACAATTAAAGACATTTACACAAACTCTGATTCTAGACCGAGTTACAGTTAATCAGACAAGGCAAAACACGTAACACCGTCATCTTCTATCATAAAATAGCTTAGACTCAAGTTTATTCAAACAACAGCATGTGTGAAGTTGTCAGTATCTTACCTGCTGCAGACAGTAGTGGAGAACGCTGACAGCTACTCAAGCCAAAAGCCATTCAAACTGATGGCTAATCAGAGCCAAGCTAACAGCTACCAAAACAAGCTAGGAACTTCACAAAATAAAGCTGACAGCTCAAGAGAAACATTAATACCTACTAAGCTAATACATTTTCAAAACAAAAAATAATCCATTTAGCTTGGGTAGCTGTTACTTTATGCTAACAGCTACTGAAAGTAAAGCTAATAACTTCAAAAGGCTGCTCAGAGTACAGCTATCGTCTCAGTACAACAGCTACTAAAGCTAACGCTACTCAAACTGAAGCTAATAACAGTTTAGTCAAGCTATCAGCAAGAAAGCTGACATCTACTAGCAATAAAGCTAACACCTTATTTAAATAAATAGCTGCACAGAAGAAAGCTATCGGCTACTCAAAGTAACATTTAATACTAATGCTGCAGCTAGCTTTGTGTCCACCACAATTAGCCACTTTAGCATGTTTATCAATTACAGTTTATTTATATTTTGTCAAAGTATTCGTTTTTAACCTTTTACATGCGTTGTGTGTAGTTTTATGATCATAACTTGTGCATTGATGTCACTGATAAAACCTGAAGTTGAGATAAAGTACCTTTGATCCAAGTTACAGCACCCAGAAAAAAGCTAACAATTTAAGCTAACATCCTCAAAAACATAACAGCGACTCAAAGTACTCATCTACCAGCACTTATAAGCTATTAGCTTGACTCAAACATGAGAACGTGATTCTGCATCTCCAAACATTTGGAAATAAAGACATCTGTCCCCTGTAGATGATACCAACTGTTCACTGCTACTTTCTACAGCCTAGCTTAAATAAAGCTAAACTGTCACCTGAAAGATGAATTTTTGCTACGATAAATAATTATTAAAGAATCTTCTTTTCTGGTAAAGTAGGGATTTAGTGTAGTTTTCTTAAGCACACGTATTAACAGGCAATTTAAACAGTGTTTTTAGCATAATGAGCATTTTTTATTTTGAAGCATAGCATAATTTGTGCATATCTTCAAACATCAAGAAACATTTTTGTCTCTATTTACAAAAGTAGTGATCAACATTTGTATCCAGGTGTACTGAATGTTTAATTTTACGCCTGCAGCTCCCCAGAGTTATTTTTATGTAAGGCGATTACGTCGCCTCGTCGCTATGACGCCTTATTTTCTGTGTGATCGTGTTAATAATTCTGTTGTACAAATGCTACATTATACTGACATTAAAATGAGTAATGGTGGCTCATTTGTCCAGGACTATTTGTAGAAGACTGCGCAACTGTTCACACAATCTAGTTACAAAGGTCACAGCTGTCATATAATACACACACACACACCCGCACACGCACACACACACACACACACACACACACACACACACACACACTCTGCTCTCCAGTTATCTACAGAGGCTATGGTAAGTCCATGAAGCATTCCAATGATAACTGGTGGATTTATCCAACAGGCTGTGAGATTATGAGATTAAATGCGAGTTGTTTTTTTTAAAGCGTGGTCCTTGTAGTGGGAAGCGCGATGGAGCCTGCGGCTCGCCAGCCTCCGTGGCCCCGAATCGACAGTCGCTGGTGACTCTCTGCACCTGAACATCCGTTAACTTGAAGTCTTCTGCTTCCTCAGAATGTCGTAGATGTCGTCCACTTTGCTGAGTCGCTCAAAGAAGGGGATGAGGTCGCGAAGCTCAGTGTCTGACATGTCGTCAAACCAGGACACGACGGGAACCTGGAGGTTGAAAACGGTGATTTTAGTGTGAAATGATGTTCAGACTTTAATCACCGGAGCAGCGTACCGCGTTGTCTGGATGGAAGATGTAGGAAGCGGGGGAGTTGTCTATGATGATCACCCTGTTCAGGTCTCTTCCCAAGCGGCTCAGGTCTTTAACGTAGTTCCCTTTGTGGTATACACACGCCTCCCGAAAGAGGCGACTCTGGAAGGCTCCGCCTTTATCCAACAGGTCGGACACAGGATCTGCATACTGAAGGAAATGAGACAGAAAAAACACAGAAAATTATACTTTAGCACACTAAACCTCGCAGCGTTCAGGTTGATGTAATATTTGCTCATATTTGACCAGAATTTTGATTCCAAAGCTTACTTGTTCCTCCCAACAGCCGTGTCACCTGAATACTTCCTATATGAAGCCACATGCTGGTGTGACTCTCACTTTTCTCCACATAATGAAGTCTGTGTTACTTTTTGGAGTTTAGCTGCTGTATGTTAATGTAGACGCTCAAAAGGTTTGTCATGTCAGTCAAACTCTATAATTAAATATGTGGTTAGTGATTTGGCTCTAGAAACTCACATCAAGCTAATGCTAGCTAAGACAAAGGGAAGAGGATTGAAATTCTGTAATGTTTTGACTCGGGCAACGGAAACAAATGAATCCCAGCTGAAGCTAAGTAGCTAATCTAAGTAAATGGGCTTTGTTTTAAAGTGACATCAACAAATTACAAAAAGTAGAAACAGCTGGAAAATGACTTTATGCTCACAAACACCCATTGGCGCTTAGATCAACATACCTAGAGATTAAGGTATGTTGATCTCTAGTGAAATAATCTCTGTACTTTCTTCTCTGGTCCTAATAAGCAAACATTTATTAGCCAGTTCCCTGTTAAACAGACTCTGTGCTATGAACAACAGTTCATCGATGCTGGAGAGCCGCCATTATTAACTAAGATTTTTAACTTTTCATTTTGAGCTAAACTGTTATAGCAAAGATGAAATAGGTGAAAGGTCACCATAAGTCCCATAAAAGGCCGTCCTCAGAGTGATGTTTCACCAGCTGGACAATGAGAGACTTGGGATGCAAACCTTGGATAAACTTGCGGTGAATAAAACGCACTCAAACATTTCTCCCATCCTCTGGAGGAACTCGTCAACATGCGGCCTCTTCAGTACATGAACCTGATGGAAGCAGAAATATAACAGTTAGACTCACTGGAAATGAGATCCACTGTAGAAGGAAGCTATAGTTCTCATTGTACAGAAATCGTGTTATTCTTCTAAATGAATTTCCTTATTTTTAACTGTAAGACGCTGGCAGCCATGTTTCTGAACCAAGTCATCCAGAATAGGCTTTCCCCACTTTTACAAGCCGATCCTGGAGTACTTGAAACGGACCCAGGCCCAGAGGCAGGACTTTAAACATAGTCAACATATTCTGACTATTTTAGTAAAAGATAACCAAGAAATTACTGAAGAATAAAAAAGGGATTTGGTATTAAGGCTGCCCAACTTTAACTGGTAAAAACAAACATTTGATACTTAAAAATGACAAAATGTAAAGTTAAATCAAAATCATTAATAAAAGTAATTACAACAAAAATCAGGCATAAAATTGTTTCCACATCAGTTCCTTTTCCAACTCATAAAATTTTAACAAAACTGTAAGTAGTTTTGGTGAATCGTTGATCAAAACAAGCTGTTTCTTCGTTAAAGTTACAGTATTAAATTTTCATTAAAAATATTCTGTTTTCATACTTGCTGAAAGAATCTAGAAACAACCAACCACAGCCAGGAGGCGGGTCTTACCGCTGCAAATCACCTGCTTGGCTGCAGCTAGAATGCTAATACTAGTTAGCATAGCCACAGATGATGGCAGATTTCCTGTAATGGTAAGTCGTCTCTCCGCCATCAAAACATATAGCAGCGAGTATATGAGCTTTACTGACAGCGCTAAGACCTGCCTCCTGGCTCTGATTGGTTGTTTTGGTGCAAGAGAAGCTCATGGAGATCGACGAGTTCACAGATTATCCGCCTCATTAAACCATCACAACATGGCGACAGTTTGAAAAAAGATGGAATAATTAAAAAAATTAAATAAAACTTAAATGCTGCAGCATTAAGTGAAGTTACTCGCAGTTAATATCCAGAAAAAATAAAATGCATTTATGGAAGTAATTTTTCTAAAACAGTATCTCAAGTAAATGTAACTAGTTGCTATCCAAATCTTCACAGAATGAATTTTGTTGTTTTTTTGGAAAGTAAAGCCTCAGTCAGCCAGAAGAGCCAATCGCGGCTAGCAGCTAGCGGCTAGCAGCTATAGCATGTCAGGCTGCAGGCTGATCTGGGATAAGATGTGATACAGATTGAGATTGATGGCGGGTATTTCTGAGAAGCATTGCAGGCTCTCCTTATTTTATCAGGACTGAAATAGGAACCTGCAGCCGGGAGCCATCAATATAAAAGCTGCAGCTTCGAAACCAGCTGGCAAAGCCACAATTTCACCCCATCAGTTATTCAGAAATAAATACAGGAGGTTTGCATTCAAATCAGAGCCAAATCAAAATCCATTTCAAGGATTTTTAAACTCAAACTGCTTTAAGTTCCTACCTGATGAACAACTCCTTCGATTTCCACTGGAATGATAAAGTCTGCATTGTTCAAAGGCTGTTCAAAGACAAGAAACATATAAATTACAACTTTAAAAACCCATTTGAGTCTTGATAATTAGTAAAACATCAAAGATACAAGGAGGAGAAGCTAAAGGAAAATGATTTACTGGGTGAATTCTCAGCATCTGAATTATGCATCTCGGATGTTGAATCACTGGAAGCTGAGCTATATAAGGCGTGAGGCTCGAGTGGTGACGTAATTTAATTAGTTTTCATATTGGATACTGTGTTGGATCAAGTTCTGCTTTAAATGATTCTGCAGCAAAAGAGAAACGTGAAAAACAGACAAACCGAATTAATACAGAAAGCTACCAGTCTGAATTAATTAGAAATGGTTAAAAGTAGTGAAAAAATAAACTATTTGGTGTAATTCCATTTATTGTTTTTGTTTTCCAAATAAAGTTAATCATGGATGAAACTTTAAGACATATTTTATTAATGCATCAGTCATAATTTCAGACATTATTTAGCCACACATCTAAAAATCCAAGCGATCAGCATGCTGAGGTGAACGAATCTTCATCAGCGCTGACAGAAAGTGTGCACAGTGTAGCATCAGGTTCTCATAATAATCAAATATGAAGGAACTCATATCCACAGCATGAGAAGAATTTCTTTATTTTAAGTCACTGCAATTTTTAAAGTCAGAATAATGAGAATAAAAGTGATCATTTTGAGTTTTAAAGACAATTTTGACTTAAAGTCATAAATATGAGTAAAGTTAATTGAAACTAAAATAAATTTCTGAATTTTATCATAAATTTGAGTCGATTATGAGAATAAAAGTCGACTAAAGTTCTTAAGTCAACCCTGAAACGTGTAAAAGCCCAAATTATAAACAGCCTTTCAAAAAGCATAATTTTGATCCTTGTAAAAATAACTTTAAAACATAATTACGGCTTCTTATTGGACTGTTATTTCATGGCAGAAATGGTCTTCCGTATACAGAGTCCCTGAGTTTAATGACTTTCTCCTTTACGTTTCCATCTAATTTTGTATTTTAGTAAACTGATGGTCAGGATGGTAGAAATCCTGCCAAGCAGAGAAACATCGACACGTGAGTCAGGCGGTCATCATTTCCAACATGGCCGCCTGGGTTCAACTCATGCTTACCGAAAGAGACTCTGGTTTCTGCAGACAGACATGTGAACTCCTCTCCACCGGCTCCTTTTAGGAAGGAGCACTGAGACAGAAACTTATCCGTCCGGCAGCGAGGCGCACCGAATATTTTATTGTGTTTCAGTTGTACATCTGTAATTTTTTACAGTTTATTTTGTTACTTTAACTGATTTCATTCACTTAATTTTGCAGTTATTTTACGTTTGCAGCAGCGACTCTGAGAATAAATGTCAAGAAGTTCTCTCAGCAGGCAGCAGTGATGTGTGATGAAGCTGATACTGAGTTTTATTACTCGTTTTACATAAAACATGGAGTTAACAGAATAATCTTGTCTGCACCTTCTGCACAGCAATATCCAGTGACAGTCTGTAAGGACAGTCTGTGACCAGAGAGACGCGCCGCTTATTGCACAATTCACCATGTTAGCATTAGCTTCTTCCACCCACTGCAGCCACTGAAAGAATCAAAATGGATAAAACATCCATTTTAATTAATTAATGTAAAATTATGAGGCTGCTAATAATATGTGGTATTTAAATTTATTTATTCAAATTTGTGGGGAGTTTTGTTGTGAGAAATCAAAGAGTTTTACATATTTTCAAACTAAAAAAAGGTCAAAAATTAAATATGTGGAAAATCAAATGAATTTTAAGAAATGTATTTTTTAATGAAAAGCATCATAGTAAGTTGTAAATGCAGGCAGAAAAGCAGCT